GATTGAGTAGGCGAGTTCAGGCTTGCGACGTGGAACACAATGAACGAGTCGTGATTTAGGAAATCAACTACTTGTGAAAGGAAGAACGTCCTTCGTTGAGGATTTATTTATTAGAAAACGCCAAGTAAACAGTTACAGACTCTCATATGCAACCAGCTTTAAAAAGAACCGAGTATCCGTCTTCTTTTTGAACACGTCTTCTTTAACTTTTCTGGATATCCATTGACTATCACGCAATTGTACACGAATGCTGCAAATCAGTTCCACAAATTCCGTAATAAATCCTATCTTTCATTAGATCACGGCAGAGTTACGAGAAAGCCTCATACTCCTCGGCTGCCGCATCAGTCGCATCCACCTTTCACTGAAGATTACTGGTTTGCCATTCATGTGTTAGGCAAGCTCAAAGCCACCGGCCGAATGGAGTATTGGTTCAATTATCATGTACTGTTTACCTCTAGGTGCACATATTCTTCACGAGAGGCTCTGCAGATAATGAGTTGTGTACTTTATTGCATTGCTCCGTACTAGACATCCTGAGCTCGATTCTTACTAAAACATGACCACTACATGCCTTGATCTATTTGGTCTAACTCCAATTACTGGACACAGTGTCCACTAACACTTCTCTATTTAAGGTAGGAAGAAGGACATCAAGCCAACCGAATGTCTACGAACTGTAGCAGTCTGTAACTTCCAATATGGTAGCCAGGTTTAAGATCGATTCGTTCATTTGGATACTTATTTACTTAGTTATTCGTTTATTCATTCCAAAGAAAATTGCCTGAAAGTTTGTATGTAAGTAATGCATTGGTAGACCGTAAACTAAATTACCTCAGCCAAAATTTCAAGGTCATCAATTTCGTAATTTCGGGAACACGGCATTGTCGCATTTGCTCATATTGTTTGAGGGTCATGCATAACTCGCTGCATTTATGCGTTTGTTCAAGGTGTAGATTGGGAGATCGTCTCTGGCTGTATGATTGAAGCCAATACCGGAGGATATTGGACAGTGATTCTGTCATGCCTTAAATTTACTTTTATCTTCTTGACAACGCTTTTGCCTGAGGGTGTCTCGCAACTTGATTTGGCTTATTTTAAATTGGCGGAGTACTCACCATTCTTATCCCCACATGGTAGTGTAATAAACGGCCACTTTTTTGAGACAAAACAAAAGGTTTGAATGAGATGGTTGAGTGATATTGCTTTGTAGGCTTAGAAGCAAGGCAAGTGGAACATTCCTAAGTATACACAGAATACATCCAAGTAGACACTAGAAAGTATTCGCATCATTCAGCTTAGCAGATTTGTGAACTGGCGTGGACAGCTGGCCTATAAAAAGTATCCACCCTTGCGTCACTTGGTTCCAAAAAGGATGGCGGTTCCAGCCTGATTTTTGACGGAGTAGCACCACATTCAACCTTTTGTGGTTGTAGTTGGCGTTTGTCAAATATGAAGGATTGCTGTTGTGCCTGAATTCACTGATGTGGGTCTTACTGCCTCACCAGGCATTGGGGCATTTCATCGTGCAATTTTGGCTACTAACGGTTTTACAGTAGTAAAAAGGGGTGACATTTTCATCGGCTGACCAGTCCCCTAAGCACGGCATTCGGCGGAGGCCTCCGCGGCAAAAATGAGATAAAATAAATCCTTAATAATTACCCCACCACCATTTCGCGCGGTATCTGTGACGGAAAAATACACTGTACGATATTTAGTTCCACACTGTCATATGTGGTGTGACTAATAAAATGCGAAGAAAACTTTCACTACTCTGCGTTCCACGAAACGCTGCGAGACCAAGGATTACTTACTCAGAAGCCCTGTGAAACTGACAATTCATTTTTGTGACAGGAGAAAATTTATCGCAGCAGATTTCAGTGGCAATGTATTTGGACCTCAATCTACATATGGCATATCGTCATACTACTTTCATTTTATAGTTCATAGTGACCCGCCACCTGCTTCGCAATTCTCCTTAAACAATTTTGTCACGCTGTTACAGGAAAGAGAAAAAGAAAGAAAAATGCGCGAAGAGCTTATGAAAAAAGTTCAGTCACAGGAGCGGCTGGCTGCAGAGTTGACCACTCAGTATGAAGAGGTGAGTACGTTCGTATCATGTTGCAAACCATTCAGTTTTCAAGCCGTGAGAAGAATTAGGATTTAGTTTGAAGATATCATTCGGCGGAAACAATAAAGCCTGAATCTAGCTAATCTAGTTGAGTGAGTCAGCTTATGTGTATTACTTATATCACGAAATACACGGTTAACTGTATAAACCTTAATGTGCAGGTTCATTCAAATGTTTAAGCAACCAAATTACATAAATGTTGACACATGATCGGACATCCATCTTGAAAAGATGGACTCTGAAATTAAGGCATATCGAATCATTTCGGATAAAACTAATTTGTTTGGATCGAAAAAAATAATGCAAGAGATGTAGAATGCTGCAACATAGTGTTTAGAGCATATGTGTCTGACATTGCCAACATACTGTACGGGAACAAGAGAATATCAGGTAATGTTAATGTGAAATTTGATGCTACAGGCTTCACAACTGGGTGATGACTCATCGCATAACTTGGTTACATTGTTCATTGACAACGCCATCCCGACTGATGATGAGAACATCTTCGACCAAACTGTCTATCCCAGTGGACAAAACACTTATCTCCCCTGAGATCCACAACCAAAATTGCAACGACTTGCCAGTCACGATATGAGCAATTTCACCTACTTTGCAAAAGAGTCACCATGATCTGTTCATCTCCTTCCGTCGTGACATGCCCAGGACCACATCCAAAGCCCTGATGCTTACATGTGTTGTTCGAACACTTTGTGTGTTTCCATGAAACGTGTCACATATTAGGTTATACTAATTGACCTGCATCTGCCTCACTTTGAGATTTATTGCATACTGAGGAACAACGTTAAATCATGGAGGATAGAAACAAGTCACAGTTATATAATACTGCCTCCTATCATCGAAGGGCGAGGGAGATTTCAACACTCTCATGGGCTGGTCGTCGGCCTTTCTTGTTGATAGTATCATGACAGGAAGCCACAGGACATGCCGGCCCATTACACGCTGACGTGGATCCGCTTAGTAGCTTCTAATCACTCCGTAAACGACGTGTACATTATTGACTGCGCCTGTATGAAATATCGGAACATCTTGCACCCTGCATTGAAACACGACAAACGCGCACACTTATACAATAGAAGTAGCTGATGGAATCAATAGGATTAACTGGATCAAGTCGCCTACACGTTTTATGCCCGTTGTTGCACACAAGCTACCTTCCCCTTCCTAAATCGTCCGTCAAAGTTGAAAAGATGACAATTCCGTTTGATCATGGAAACTTTGATGGTGAAACCATTCTTCTGTTAAAAACCCTACATGGCTGAAAACGTTTGTGTCAGCCAAAAAGATGTTTTACGTTTCCCTGATAATAATTCTGCTTTCGCAGTCAAGAGTACACTCTCCCAGAAGACCGAAATATTTATTCGACTGTCGCACAAATTATAGTTCATTCACAGTCTCTTGGTTGCCACGTGAAAAATTCAATTCATTTTGACCAATTAGGTGTTCCGAACTGCTTTCTCCCTGAGGAAGACTGGCTAAAACTGAAAGCGGTAGAATAATAATTCATGAAAAGCTGGGTTCCGTTATTTAGCGGGATTGAGTATTTCCGACACAATAACAAGGATTTCTCAGACATCCACCCTTGAGAAATTCCCCTGTTGACTGGAAGATCCGAACTATATCATAGAGGATGCCTTGAGCTATCAAACTGTTCGCAGTTGGTATTCGGAGCAGACAGATGAGAGAAGTGAATACTGTGTTGCTAGCTGGTTCTATGAACAACTGGGATAACAGAGGCGATGAACTAAGCAGAACGTATGGTGAACAATAGCGCAATCAAAAGCAGAAGGGAACGAGTGGTGAGGAGGCAGGGCATTTTGGAATCATAAGCGGGTAGGTACCACATGATATACCAGAGTACGGGTACGGGCAGTCAATGTAAACAGGCAGTATACATTGATAACGGTGCGGGTGGACGTCAATACGTTATGCAGGCAGTTCAGAATCAAATGGAACTGGACACCATCTGGAGTAAGAGCTAACCGCTGAATCCGGCACTAAAATAAAAATATCTGTAGTCTACATATGACAGCAAACCAAAGTGATGAAGTTAAAATACGCGTTTGGGACCGTTTAAAACAAATCCCAATAAATATCATCATATGAGACGTATTACAAAAGTATATGACTTTCGAGGAATCTTAGCTGACGCAGCTTATGACACGCCTGCCTGCCTGTCACGCGGTTCAGGTTCGACCTCTGAGTAGGCCATTTTTTCTTCACAGAAGGCACTTGACAATAGGAGAATTGGTCATAAGGTTGATACCAGGAGCTGGGGAGCAAGTAAAAACTGAGTGGAAGTAGGAAATTGGGGATCATAGACGTTATGGTAAATAATCAAAAGTCACGCTAGCGAAAAGCCGTCCAGACACTAACCGCTGGGTGCCATTGCACAAGATGAATCAATACCGATGCTTTCATGGCTTATAGGGAAGACAGACTGAAGTAGGGAATTGCCACTGCTGTGGATTCTGCGACAATAATGACAGAACTGCTCCCATTTCTGTGTGTTGTACCGATCTGACATCGAAACCTTACAGGATCACATCTGAGTTTCATCGGCTGGGATTTTTCTGCTTATATGAATCTGTCACGCTAAACCAGCACGGTAAGTTTATTGATAACTAGATTTGGAAAAAAAAACATAAAACAGCACTTTCAGAGGCACTGTCTGAAAGACGTTCTAATGCGGAAAGTGCAGACCGGATTGCGCGTTGCAGAATGAACCTTGAACTGCCAGTTTCAAAATTCTGGGTGGTACATATTTCGTTCCATGATTTTGCCTAAGACAAAGATTGGTGATTGATGATTTACTGCTCAGTCGATCAGGTGACTACTCATTATCTTTCAGGCGCTTGCCCGGTTGGAAGAAATTGGTAACATTCACGCAGTGACACAGCAGGAGAGAGATCAACTTACCCAGGAGAAAGATACTTTGCAAAGCCGTCTGCATGATACGCAGTCAGCGCTTGAAGATTGTAAGGAATACATTGCGACTTTACAGAAAAAGGCCAGAGAAGACAAACGGAATCGCGCGAAGGCGGCAATCGAACTGAGTCAAAACATTGCTTTGGAACGGGAAAACCTTGTTCGTCAGCTTGACAGCTTGAGGTTTGTCAATTATGTTGACCTCAACAACCTGGTTACCATTCAGCTCTAACCGTATCTCGCCTAATTAAAGTGACAATAGTTGATACTACAAACACCATTACAGGTAGCCTTTTCTGATGACTGATTGAGTCTGTCGAATTCTCACCAATACTGTTTGTTCACGTTTGCATTTTTGTTGCTACTTTGCTTGACTATGTCTGAAATTGGGTGATTTTTTCGCATCTTTTCGTCTGCCTGCTTCACTGAGGACGAGACAGTTCCAAGGCATGCCAGATGAAGTTTACTTTCAAAGTGTGGAACATGTGGTGCACGATTCCGATTGCTCCGAGGTCAGATTTTGTGAATGACTACTCGTCATACAGGGCGACTGCGCTTTTGCATTTAAGATTGTTTCTTTACATGGTATCGAAGAGACACGTTGTGCACCAGAATCAGATTGAGTGTCGGGCGTGAAACCCATGGTAGGTGGTGTACATGGCACTACGTTCACTTACCAATCCTAAATTTCTAGCAAACTGGGCAACTCAATCCCTCGGCCGACACCCAACAGAGATTTAGCTTAACTTAGCTGATTGGTTCTCCTTCCGCCTTAAATCTCGATCAACCTCGGAACCTAGTCACTTGGCCTGACGAAGCTTTTGTGTCGAAAGCGAAACGTTGCCCAGCAATAAATCTACCGATTGTCACCAAACTTTTTCGAAAACTCAACTAGTTCTTCAAACGTGAATGTGCTAAATGAGTACGTTTTACGAATGTTAATCTGATGTCTACTCAGAGGGAACATTTCAACTGAAGATGTAGAAATTCAGCCTTCCTATTAGTAGATATTGTAGATAATTCGGCACCACACTCAGTAGGTACCTCGCTCGCCAGAAGAGAAGGGCTATCGGTACCAAATGATAGATCAAAGCTTACCTGTCACCAAAGTGTAGTGGCAAATTGCTTGTACAAAAAGCCTTAAAACGTCCTTATCCGGGGGGTGACGGATTAGAAGCAACATGCACGCAAACACCGCCATCATGTCTGGAAAGTCTGCTGACTCGTGGAAGTAAGTAAAGTGCACTCTAACACGACTAGATCACCAAGAATTTTCTAAAACGCCATATGACTAGAGTTTAACGCTGTGGACCTCGTACCCACATATGACCGGTGAAAAATTTGATGGGACTGGACTGCGGTAATGGTTCAGTGGAAATGAGTCATGTGTGTGTATAACATTGCTGACTAGCGTACCATCTGTTTCATAGACAAATTTAAGGATGTATCAGATATAAAGATGAGACCTTGGAATACCTTCTTCTTACACTGATATTACAGTTCTATATTCTTCATGTGGCACATTGGTATGTGGATTCCTTACCCCCGTAATCCACCGGACATAATCACATATTTATTTTGACAAAAATCTGATGTTTTGCAGGTTATTTAGTGCTCTAAATTAGTTCTTCACGTACACTTATTTTTCTCCACATTATGTAGATGCATGTCAGATGAAACCGAGGGCCTAACCTTTGATCTGCGTGTCAGATTTAATGGGTTTCCGGAACACAGTCAGGAAGATAGGTTCGTTAGTGTCAAACCTTTCTTAGCTCCTGTGGTCAAAGTTCATAAAAAGTAAATGTTGATCATAGAGAGTTTACGTAGAAGAGAAATGTAGGGGCGCAGATAATGGCCTGATTCCGCTTACCCGCCCTGCTATATTTAGCGAGTGAGGCGGCTCAGCGACCGATGTGACACGACAGCATTGTTGGTTACAGGAATCAGAGTCGTTTCTGGGCTGGGATATTCCTGCGAGGCTTGTGGTCCTCGACCAGGACCGTAAGCTCAAACGGATGGGTGTGAGGCAGTAGTTTCTCCTAGTGAATGTTAGAGCATCCACTTTTCAAAGAGCTGGTGGGTGCACAAGTTTCAACCCCCCAACCTGGAAGGCCAGTAAACCTCTAACCACCGACTAACTTAGTATTGGAAACTGCGGGCGTGGCAGGCAAACTCTTCAATGTAGATCAATGCGTCATGAAGGCACACATACCTTTACACCACAACAAAGTCCAGTTTTTTCTTGATGGATAAGGAAATGTAGTGAACGCTGAAAGGTCTCCAAAACCGCTATGTTCACACAGCTACTGGCGATATGGGATATGATGACGACATCGTCCTCGTCCTCGAAGAAGAGAAGGCGCAAGTATTTTCGGATGAAATGAACAAAGCCATTCCGTCATTTGGCATTTGCTTTACACCCGAAATTGTAACGCTTTGCTGTTGGACATCCAATCGCTGAACATTTCACTTACAATCCAGGAAGAGGCACATGAAGTTATGGAGCCTTTTACCTATCTTGAGAGTGTGTGGTGTGACAGATTGGGTCATTACCCGAAACTTCAAGATTCGGGTTGTATCTGCTATTTTAAGACATCTGTGGCACCAAAGCGGTATATCCCAGAATCTCAAGGGACGTGTGCAGAAGGCTGTGAGACTTGGCCCCTAAAAGCAGCGAAACTGAGACAACCGTTGTCGACAACCGTTTTTTTTAGAAACGTCATGTAGGGGCATTTGCTTTACACCCGAAATTGTAACGCTTTGCTGTTGGACATCCAATCGCTGAACATTTCACTTACAATCCAGGAAGAGGCACATGAAGTTATGGAGCCTTTTACCTATCTTGAGAGTGTGTGGTGTGACAGATTGGGTCATTACCCGAAACTTCAAGATTCGGGTTGTATCTGCTATTTTAAGACATCTGTGGCACCAAAGCGGTATATCCCAGAATCTCAAGGGACGTGTGCAGAAGGCTGTGAGACTTGGCCCCTAAAAGCAGCGAAACTGAGACAACCGTTGTCGACAACCGTTTTTTTTAGAAACATAGGTCATGTAGGCTGGTGTTGGTGAATCTCAAACGAGACAAAACTGAGCATTCGGTTGCGCAAAGTGATTTCAAAGAAAGTGCCCATGACCAAAGACTGGGGTGCTTTAGTCGTGTGCTGCCCATGTCATACTTTCATTTGCCGAAAAGAGTGTTGTTCACTGGGTTCGATTCGTGGTGGGCTGTCAGAGTGGTAGTCAGCCTATGACTTGGACGGGGCGTACAAAAGAGACTACGAAAAGTCGGGGTGCCGTCGGTGGGAATCGCTTTCCAGAATGCGGTCCGCCCAATCCACACTCTGCATCGTTGGAGAAGCCGCAATGTATGGACACATGGCAGCTAATCAATGTCAGTTTCTTTGCAGATCGCCTGGGTGGGTGTCTGGAAGTGGAGACATCTCCGATTGATTACGTTCTGCTAGCATCAAGTCCCTGAGCAATCCACTCTTATTCTTCTCCGCACACTAGGGTCTCCAAGTAAATTAAGGTTGTACGGCGGTGAGGCATCAATGTTGAACACTGATGTTATGTTCTCTACGAGAAAGATGGGGATCATAGAACAAACCTCGGCTGAAGTAAACACGAATAGTATTTTGGAGTTTTATAGGCTTTTCAAGGGGATATAGCAAATGCAGACATTATTATTTGTGTTTGATTTCAAATCCACCTGCATTGGTTTTCAGGAACCTATATACCGTACGTAACATGAAGTTTTTGGATTTGATTGTATTTCTTTTCCTACTGCTAACTAAGTGATGGGAAAGCTCACAAATGGACTATTGAGTCTCACCGTTTTTTTTTCATTGAAGAAGTTACACTTTGTTCTCGGTGAAAAGCTTGAAACTTCGAATTTTCTGTTCATGAGTAGTTGAATGATGACCTACACGCAGTTTTTCTCGTTTGAAGTAAATTTCCACAGCCCTTTCACTGAGTACACATTTCTTAAAAACTTGACGATTACCGTCCTGATTCCCTAGCAGACTTGTTAATCGTAAACTACTGGATGATCGCGAAGAGCGAAATCACCGCCGAGTAAGTGGAACTGTGCAGTCCACCAGCATCATCAGGGAGGGAGAAACAATTCCACTGCCTCTAACCCATCCGGAAGAACCTGGGAAAGACAGAATGGTTACTTGCCGTATCACACACGATCACGGTCTCGTATGCGAAGCGGAGTTTGGGAAGACGGATTCGCGTTCAATGGGTTCAACTGGGATTTCGAAAGCAAGACGAGGTTCCATTATGGCAGCTTATTTTGGACCTGTGTAAGTGTTTTAATTGGTACCACAAAATGTGATAGCGCATATCCAGTGTTTCGAATCCCAGTGAATATCGACCAGCTGTCGATAACTAACAACGTACGCGCACCGATCATTGATTATTTTTGGACCACAGCTCCACCACCAATCAAGGCTTGCCGGACACAGAATGCCTTTAAGTAGACAGAGATACAACCTGATATGAAAGCTTTCTTTACTACAAACGGTAAGAAAGGAAGCGATGTAAAACACTTCCTTAGATTGAAGTTTTTATTCCTTTATTTATTCCGAAAGCGCTCGATTTCGACGGTCGTGGTTTATTCTTATGATGCTTAATAATCGCCTGCGCTATTAACTGACCGAATTCCTAAGCCTGTAAGGTCCCAATTCAACATATGCACATCGTATAGTTTTCCTTGTGATCGAAAAGTTCCACGTTAGAACGGCATGGTAGTTTTCGCAATTCTGTTCTCCTGGAAACGTTTTGAATATCTGGATGGTTTTGAAATTTTACGCCACATTAATAGGTAACGAATATTGGCTTAAGTAGGCGAAGGCCTTGGGCTATTTTATACTATCCCATAAAACGGGCTTTGACGCATCAACACCTGAGTGGGTACATTTCGTAAATTGTACCGTTAGGTGCCCAGGTACTGTTCCAAAATGAAATCAATCACAACCAGTCCTGAGCTTTTGCACTCATCGACGAAGTTCGTTCTGTGGATGGAAGGCTTTGCTCCCAGTCAACCGGTATGGTCACCTGTGAGTCAAGATTAAATCTACTATTGAGAAAAAATTGTCCACTTTTTGACGAACGCGTCAACATTATATCCTAATTCTTTGCAATATCACCAGAAGTACCATCTTTTTAGAGCCACTGGTTTCGAGAAACTTTGAACTGGGTTAACCAAGATTTAAACTGATGGAAAACTCTAAATTCTTGGAATCCTTCGAATTGGATAACTGACAAATACCCAGCCTGTATTGCTTTCCTGGTTCTGAGCTGAATCAGTGATGGGCGGCCCTAGATTAGACACCTGTATCAGTCAAAAAAATTGATCGGGAATGGGTTTTCCCACGGCACACACTGAAGTGTGTTCACCAAGTTTGTCGCCAAACTGTCACGACGCGCTCAGACGGAGAAAGCACATGTGCGGAGAGTGACGCATCCCCAAGGTCACAATCGGTACGACACGTCCGGAAAGCAGGTGCGTTTGCGGAGCGCACCAAACACGGCTTAGCAGCATACGACCAGCGGAGTGGGCCTGAGAGTGTTCACGACCTTAACACTGCTATTGACTGTACAGAACGAACAAGTGAACGACCATATTTGGCTATTTAGTCATTCTATATATGTACGCAGAAGCTATGTATGTTTTGTTCTGACAATACAGCAGTGTCCCGAGTTTCTCTGTCTTCTCCTTATCGCGTGGTCTGGCAGGCTCAGTGTAGGCGTAACCAATAGAGCCACCCACGATATAGCACAAACGAACCGTTATATGACGTCATTAGAAATTCGTTTCAACTGTTCGCATGACTTATAGAAAACCAGTTGAAAGCCTAACCACTAACCGCAAGGCTTAATGATGAATCATAGACACTTCCCTAGTTGTCTGATGGCACCGTATACCAAAATATGCCGTTGAATATTCAGTTACCTGTAACCACAACTGATCATCCTTCTGTTTCCGGAACTAGGCTAATCGGAATGATTGTAAAAATACAATCATGAAGTGCGTCACCGTATTTACGAGACTAACGTGCCTGTTGCCGTTTATATTTTCTCCTTTAATCGTGTTCTCCAAACAAGAAAGCAAATAGCGGGAAGCAAAAATATTGATTATGTGGGACGATTTCGAGCAAAAAACGAACAAACTTCAATGGAAAATTAGATAACAATAATGGTATGAAATGAATGAGTGAACAGGAAGTCAGAGATAAAATTAATTTCGTTACTGTTTTCTACTCTGCTACCTACAACTTTCCGACAATCCCCTCTACTCACAGTTGTACCAGTGTGGAAATGATCCAATTTCTAGCACACTTATTAACGAAGTCATAATTTTGTGGACCACCCCTAGTCTGTGTCCATTCTAGGTCTCGAAATTATGGAGTAACAAGAACTTGACGTAGTGTGCAAACAAACTTTAATTTGAAGAGTTCTGTGTTGTATACTTCCACCCAAAATGTGATGTGAAATGTGATATTGAAATGCATTACATACTAGGGGACGATTAGATTTGCTCTCATTCTACACAAATGAAACAAGTTTGAATAGGCTGGTGTTGATCCATGGGCAGTACCAGAGCTTGCAACACCCTACAACTTACATACTATGAGTTTGCTGACGACTAGTAGCGTTTTATCTAGGGAAACAGCATGGTAGAAAATTTATAAAGAAATGTAAGTTGGTTTAACGTACTTCATGACTTTTGGGACAGGTTGTCATTGCTTGTAAGAATGAATACGACATTCGGAACCCTGAAGTCTCTTTTCACAAAACGTATGTTTGTGATGACGAAGGGAATGTTGGTAGTTCATGCTTTATACAGTCCGCTTTCTAAACTCTGATAAGAACTCAACATCAGTGCATATCTTTGGCCATGATAAGGCTTGAACCCTGGACAAATGACAGGTTAAACAAAGGTGTCAGCATTAGTTCACCAGTCATGGAAGTCGAGGTTCAAAGTTGAGCACTACCGAAAATGTGCACTGCTGTTGAGCCATAATAAAAGTGCTACACGAGTTCACCGCTTCCCTACTTTGGTGTGAGCCAATCAGAATATTCGCAGGAAGACAGAATACAGTCTATTCAAACGGGGGTTGTGAATACATGTATCTATTTTCTGACACTAATCAATGTCATCGAGACTCGCTTGTAATACTGGTACAAATCCATGGGTTACAACATATTACTTATACAACTAAAAATTGACCCTGTTTTGCCTGCGTGATGGTTAGGAACTTCATAGTTGGGTGGGCCGGTGCCTCAAAATCGAGTTACTCGAATCTATACAGCCGGAAGTGCGTCGAAAGTTGGTTGGAATCTGATTATTATTGGATATTCAGAAATGCTCCCAACTTTCACAATACGCACGAAGGTCCTGATACTCTGAGTGTACTATAAGAATAGAAGAATGTGAGACAAGTGTTCGGTCATGGACGCGCTTTTTGTCCCAAGCTGGGTTAATCACGTGAACGTTTGTGGAATAAAGCACAAAATGCAAGTTCTGAGGCCCCTAACATCAAGCAAAGACTTTGAAGAACTTACCTAGCGTTATAGCATATGGATTTTGTGAATTTACATAGCAACAAGAGATATGGTTGTTTCGTGAGTCTGTCTATGTAAGCAAAGCTATTCTTTTTCAGCCAACATAATATTCCTTCAAAATAAAACAAGTCTGGCTGTGTCCTCTTGGCTCAGCTGAACGTCGGTTGCAAGGGTAGCTTTTTCCAAACCTGCCTGCTACTGAAAGTATGTTGACATCAGTTTGAAGCATGCTCTGACTCACACAGAAGCTAATTGAAATTGAGACGTTCGCAATAACCGAAAAAGAACGTCGAGCTGATTTTGTTCTCCTGTTTTTCGGGTATTAAGGTTGTTAACTACATGATGCTGAATAAACAGGTTCTCGCCTGATGCTGCGTAACTCGAGTATAGTCAAGTACGTCTCACTTATTCAGCTACAATGATATCTCTTGCCATTACATGGCATCCGAATCAGTAACTTTTGCAATTTGTGTCTGACCTATCGGATTAAAATTCCATCACTGAGCCACTAAGCACAGCTGACTGTCATTGATGGCGCAGCAGTCTTGTTATTCTTCGAATCTAGAACACAGTTCTTAATCACTGGGAGTAAGATGACCGTACACATTATGAATCCGTTCTGGTTACCTAAAAATTTTAGTGTTTTGTTATCAAAATGCGATTTTCCATTGCTTTTAAACAACTTGATCCGATGGACAAATAGCTAAAATATTACTATGCGCTTCCGGTCTTGTTATTTTCCAATAGCCTATCGCGACGTGGATCTTCCGAAAATGACTTAACAGGTATCATGGAGGGGGTTGAATCGGATAACGAAGAAGTGTTTAAAACAGGTAGGTATCCGATTGATCATAATCTGGGGCATCCAGTTCGATGGAGCAGCGTTCAAGGCCCATTTGGTTCAATGGACGAGGCTAAGGTTGAAACAGTACTACCGGGATTGGCTGCTGTTGATCAGTAAGTGATGTCATGTCTCTCTGAGGCGCATTTATCTTAGCTTCTCTCCATGTATGGGAGCTTCAGAACAGGTTTCGTGCACTCGTCGACATCTGAATCACTTCGCTAGGCTATTAGCGTTAATATTGTCCATCCTTACGTGACCGTCATTTTTTCAATGCAATAACCCTATCACTTTTTGCTCTTTATTTGCTACAGACTTTCATTTAGATCCGATGACGGCGCTGTATCCGTAAGTTTAGCATTTTTAGAGGTTCCAATTAATTCAGAGAGGTTAAATGAAATATATATAAGGAACAAAATAATCTGTCACAGTAGAGACTTGAATATTGACTAGAACAAACTGCAGTTCAAAGGTTTATATTATCTGCAGCTATGTTGTTTCAGAAAGTGTTCGGCCAATTATATTCTCTCTAATGAAGACATACCATATAGGATATAGCTAGGTATGGTTAGGATAACAAAATGGCTGATGTTTGGATGTTGTGGATTCTTCGTGATGAACGCATCGCCCTTTAGCGAAGCTATCTTCACAGAATGATAAAGTTGTCCCTAATTGGTAAAACTTGCGAGACGCGTATTAGGTTAGCTAACCTCCGTGAAACTGACATCATGTCTATCTGCCGAGCAGTCGGTCATCGTCATGCGGAAAGGTGAACTTTTCCTGCATCATGAGATTTCTAAGAACGTTGGGCATGGATTTAGACAACGCGCTGGCTGCAAATTTTATATGCCAATTGATGAATGACTGAAGTTAGAATTTTCTTGATTAGTATGTCGTCAAAAGCAAAGGGATACTGCTTGGAATGTGCTGTATTGGCATGATATCTTGAAAAGACGGAAGGCATAGACTGATTGGATAATAGTGCACAGGAGATTCTCAATTTATTTCGGACTTTCGGGCGTACAAAACCAAGAGGACGTAGTAGACTTCTTGTTTGTTGTGATGCCTTATATGACCATCATTACAACCTGAGTTAAAATGTTCTATTCACTTACAAACGCTCTCAACTAGCCACTGATTCGGACGGCTTATTGAAAGTGAATCTGTTCTAAGAGTCGAACTAAGGAAATCATATTAGTCTCATTTGCTAACGTGTAATCGTGGCTGGGTTTTTATCGTCAAAGAACAGTTTGAAAGTTGAATTAGTGTAAAAGGGTCATCTAAAAAAGAGCTCAATTTGGGCATTTGGGCAACGTGAAAAAATAGCTGGTTTGAGTCGACAGATCACGGTGCACAATTAAACAGGCAGCTAGGTAAAAGGTGTATATATATATATATATATATACCATGTCGTTTGTCACGAGATTTCACACATCTTGTTTACAACTAAGTTAAGTCAGTCTTCTCCAACAAGTTGTTAAGTATTACGATTACAATATGCAATGCAGCCTGAAATCAAGTTCGCTGTGTCTTTTCAGAAACCGAGAGTGTGGATATAAAATTAGCGTTATCCCGTAGTACATTCTTTTTCAAGAATTAGCGATGTCCCTGATAACTGTTCGAAACAAATCTTTCTATGGAGGTAATCTCTTTGTGGCACCGACCTAGGAAAGTGTGTCAGGAAAGGGGCACATCATCCTCCTCTTGAAAACAGCCCTTTTTCGGAAGTAAAACTGTGCTGGTGGCTGCTGTGCTGTGCAGCTGATGGGCCTCTCGCACACTGCTGCCACCTGATCGATGTGAGTCGCGCAGTTAATTTTATTCGCAAACAGTCGTCGGCATTCGTCAACATCGGTTTCGAATTCAGTGATGAAATGATACACTGCGCTGACTGTTCTCACTAAACTCACTAGTAAAATGTGTTCTCCGTTACACCAGCGACAGCAGATGGCTCAGCGCGTTTTTAAAGTGACGTTTGTTGGAGATTCTAACGTGGGCAAGTCCAGCATTATCCACCGATTCGTAGAGGGTGAATTCAAATCCAACCTTGGGGCAACCGTTGGCGTTGATGTGAACACAAAATTTGTGGAGTGCGACAGTGTCATTGTCATCTTACAACTCTGGGACACCGCCGGATTAGAAAGGTGAGTTGGATGTCTTGTTTGAACAGAGTACCTTTTTCGTAAACTTATGCAGGTTGTACCTTCCAAGAGAACAATTGCTATGACTTAAAAATGGTATTCGACACCATGTCAATTAATTTCTTAATTCGGTCGTTTGCTTAATACATTTACTCCGAATGAACAGATCTACCATAAATAACAGGTTGAGATGCTGGAAGCGATTTTTATCATTATTCTGATTGTTATCATCTGATTATTATTATTATCATCTGATTATTATCATTATTCTGATTCATCCTTTCGAGGTGACCACCTTAGGCGATTTCCATACAGAATCTCTCCAATCCAGAACCCAAAATTGACTGGACTTAAGTTGCAAAAGCAGGTTAAATCATTTTGTTCAGTCAGCATGCTCCAGCAGTTTTTCAACACTCTTTAGCAAAAAAATCACTTTCTTCTGGGTTGTCGTGAGGAACTTCAAATCTGCATTCATAGCATGCAGCCGTACAGATTGAAAGGCAGTCCAGTAATAGACTCTTCCGTGTATTGCTATAAAAATGTAGAGGAAAATAGACTTATTCTCCGTCTTTGTGGGAGCAGCTACGTCGTCCTTGATTCATACATTTTCATGACATACGGTTGGTCGTGACATTCACTGATAGTGCAGGACGACCTACCGTGAGGGCCACATAAAAGAACGTGTTCAATGATCCCGCCGAACGGTCTACTCTTCAACTACAGGCTAGAAAGTGGCTGATTTGGGTAACCCTGGCTATTTGTGAGGTGCACATTGCGCGTAATTAGTAGTAAGGGGGACAGCCTTACAGTGTTTTTCTGGTTCTCATTACAGTGTGGCTTCAATTACAGGATGGAATTCCAATTGAAGCTTCCCAAACCGCCACACATCCCCAATCAACCTATATATTGTACGTAATAACATCACATGTCGGATCTCTAAACCCTCTTTTTAGGCCTCTTTGCTAAGCAAACTCGCACCTTCAGGCTGATCAGAATTTCATTTGTCGTTTTCGGGTAAAATCCTTAGCGAAAACCTCAACCGTCCCTATCTTACAGGCTAGATTGTTTCTGGAGTCTCCGCTCAAAATTCCTAAGGAAAACCTAGAATCTCATCATTGGTCCGTGGGTTAGTTTAATGCGTTAAATGCCCGAATTGAGTTACAGTAAGTAAAATACATTGTCCGCGTTTTAGCGACAGAGATGCGTCCTTTTGAACTCACAGCTCTTCTCTCCACTGATATGAGATTCCAGCACTCCACAACCAGTCAGCAAAAGGAGCTGAGCCATTGTTCTATCGTGCGTACAACAACGTCAGCACTGTTTAAATCAACAGAACTAATATTCTCGTGACATTACAGAATTTTTTTAAAGAAGGGAATTAAACAGCTGCAAATAATGTCAAACATGACAGCACAAAGTCAATGAAGGTTTCCTCTCCGGAAAAGGAAAGCAAGATCCAATGTTAGTCACGCATCTTATGCAATCTTAGAAGGAATTCAATTTTTCACATTTCATTCTCCGGTGAACAAGTAATCTCAAAGAAGCCATCAGTGCTGTCTAGTAGTTAGTTTCTTGACTCAGCTACAGGTATAAGAGCATTGTCTTAAATTAACTGCATCAATTGATCACTTCTGACGTGCTCACCTATGTATCTCAATATAGTAGCTGTAGTGTACTGGTGTAACAGTGTATGCCACTGATGAAATATGCAAGTAGCCGATGGCCCGTTGTTCAAGCTCTATCACCGCATCTGACAGAAGATGAATTCTGGTACGAAAATTGTGGAACCGCTTCGCGGTGTTCGTTCACTAATGTGTAATAGAGTATTCGTGAAAGTTCAAGAGTACGCATGAGAATGTCAAATTTTTTTAAAAACGACGTGCATATGAGATGTTTGCTTTAGTGTCTAATGGCTTGTAGCCGTTCGGTTCCTGGTCGACAGTAAATGACTTCACACCTAGGGGTTTCCTCCTTTCATTGGTATTGTCTGCTTCTGTTGATGGAGAGTCGAAGAACAGACGTTCGTTCAAGATCCGTCCGACTGGCTACACCAGGCAGATAACACTGACATTGCTATCTAGGCAGATGATGTTGACGCTGTTTGGTAGTGTGCACTACGCAGATACACTGCTTATTCTTCAATGCGCACTCGCTAACCGCTTACAGTAAACAAGATACGCCGGTCACCAAAGTGATTATTATCCAGTGCGCGTTTTCAACGAAAAACGCATGCGCAATAAAAGCTGGCGGCCGCCACTAACAACTCAACCATGAGTTAATTCGATAACCTGGCTGCCCGCCAACGCTATGATCAAATGTTATTATCTTTCTTGGGACCCACACCACCATTGCGCTCGTGCTATATATTTTACTTTCTTGCTTATCTCCACAGGCCAGTTAACCTCGAAGAGACTTCAGTCAGCATCGATACAGGCTAACCCAAACCATCGCCTAACGCATCCAACATAATAGTGGCTATGGAGCAGTCAATACCAAGCAGAAACTAAGAAAAGCTGTTTTTGTTGCTGTCTGCACAGCAAATATTATATAATCAACCATTACTTGTCGTCGAGTTTACAGTCCTCACGCATGTCTCTGCAGCAATTCGTGTCGGCTATTATTATGCTTGAAATACAGACAACTAAGAGGGATGACGCCACTGTACAGGACGGGGACTGAAGGGAATGGTTTGGAAATTAGTGCGAGCACTCATAACTTCCTGCACCCTGGACAGAGTGCATACTGAACCTTAGAACTTCAGCTTGAGCAAGCGACACGTTCTTTTTACACCACAAAGCAGGATCCTACGCAGGGTGACAGGCAAAACAAGCCCAGGCACTCCGACTAGGGAGTGAAGTTATGCTCTTTTGGGTATCACTCAAGCACCATGTCCTGATCACCCGCAGGAATGGAGTGAAAATTTTTCAAAACAAATTTCAACAATCCAGGACGAATCTTCAGTCACCATGTTTAACCAGCGTAACTGATAGTTCATCTAACCAAGTAGGCTCGGGGACCTCCAAAATGTAACAACTTATCCGTACTTCGTCAAATAAATGTGTTGAGCAAAAAAATTAAGTGCGTGGGCGTAATAGCCGGCTGACAAACAAGTGTTTTTGAGAGTAAGTTGTTCAGCAATCTTAAAGGTGACTTCCGTATTACATAGGATTTCAAACACCATCTTTGGTTGGTCCATCAGTAGATCTTTCCTGTGTTATTCTGAAATAAGGCAGAGTAGCTGCGCCAACTAACCAGGTCGAACGGAGTTGTGGCATTTGAAGCAAAGTACGGCATCTTAGCTTATCGTTCTTCCGGAAATACAGTAGAAAAAAGCCACCGTTTTAAACGGACAACCGCAGGTGCCTTGCTTTGGTAGCGCGGTATACAACAATGTGACGACAAATAGTACTTCAGGAAATTGTGTGATACTACTGAAAACTTTGCACGGTATTTTCTGTGACTAGGTGAGATTCTGTGTAGATTTTCGCTCGAATTCGTAACAACTATTGGGGGAAGATGTCGTCGTCTATATTCAATGCTGTTAGCCCTGCTATGGAAACGGTCATGAGAGGTCATTTTACCTTCTGATTCATGCGGTACCGAAACCCACCAGATGCATCCGCTCGAAAATATAGGGTATAGGGCAGATTTAACTGTTTTTGGGATCAAACACGGCCAGATTGTAGGCGCTAGATAATGAGGTAAATAATTATTCTGAATAGCTTCGTGTGCGCCAAAGACCTGCAAATATAAAATGCTACTGCAGAGCTGGCTGTTACAAGCCTTAAGGTGGTGCTCAAAGATCGGTAACTCAATCTAATCAACCAACTCAGTTACCTCTAGTTGAATGTGGAGTTTTTCCTTGAGTGGTGTCTGCCAGATCCGCTTTAACTCATCTATGACACTTTGCTATCAATATGGTATGAGCTAGTTCCTCAGAGAAATTTGAAAACGCTCCATTATGTTCCATACTTTTATTCAGCCCAAATTCCTGTTCACTGTGAGCAGATTAGGTCAAAAACTTTCGGTACTTGACACCACCAGTTTATATCTGGCTGTGTCCGGTGACACACCAACTTAGTAGTTCTAATGTCCATCGAAATGTTCTTGGAGAAAGGTGTCTTACGAATTGATTTTACTCAATAAATTCTCCAAGCTTGATCACGTACTTCAAAAGTACTGAAACTTCAGTCATTCAAATCCCGGTTGCTGAACCCTACACAAGTTTGAAAGGATGTCAGGGAGGTAGTGTGAGCACGCTGCAGCTGAACATTGCAGTAATGGCCAAAAACAGTGGTCACCACTGTAATTTGTCTGTAAAGGGGTCCGATGATTTACTCGCACATACCCCCGTTTGCTCCCCCTTTGCTCATTCTGCAACCCACTCGTTACATTCATTGTATAGCTTGAGGAAACTAATAGGCCACCGCAAATGAATCAACGCTTCAATGTTCTGAGACATCGCTTTCAAAAGATAGTGCACTTGTTCACATTTGCATTCATCTTTGAGGAAAACCGTGTTAGCTGAGTCAATATTCTACCTGTGCACTAGTCATGCGTAACGGTACAAAGGATAAGTATGACCAAATTATATTTTGAATTGTGTTTTCACACCCTTTGGACATTCTTTGAATCTTTTGCTTGACAACCTGCGGAGTCATGTGAAGTAACCAGATAAAAGCGATCTGGTCTCACAACGGAACAAAAAAATTAAAAAGCCTGAGGAGGGAAATAATTTTGCAAAGAAGGTTGTAACCTCGCTAGTTCCAGTGTTTTCTTCAGTTTGTCTTCCATGCTAGATCAGCCAGACATTTTAAAAACCATACATATTGCAAACAACTAAAATACTGTAAATAAATTTCATATTAAAAAAGTGGCGAAATGAACAGAATGTGGATAACGTTTGTTTCATTTACTTTAATAGCTGACCGAATTCATTCCAAAATGTTAATGAAAAACCCATGTACGGTCACTTTATCTGTTTGCAAGAAAACTAATTCTCAGACAATGTCTGAGGTTGTCCTGGATTCTCAAAGCGGACTAACTGTTTTTTGAAATTTCAGGCTAACTTCTCCCACGAGTGACAGGTGCGTACTGAGTAGAAATTTATTCTGTGGATGAAAATTAGGACTTGAAACATGATTAATAATCATCAAATCATCCCTACTATACGAACGTTTAACTCAGTGTAGGGTCCTCAATGAGAAGAATCTAAAATCATTAGTATCATATATTTCCTGCACTGTTATTTCAACGTGTTTGTTGTCTTTCAATCACGTGGGACGGAGTATTACTTGCCGCTGGCAGCGATGGAACGCCTGCGCACTCAGTTAGACAGCAGAATGCATCAATTATAGGACACTATATAGGCCATATAAATGATATCAAAATTTTATGGGATTTTTCGCAGTCTGTGTGTGCTGGAAAGCAGCCATTTGGATTGCAACGGAGTTTTCAGATCATTTGAACAGGTTACGAAGAAAATGTCGATAACTGTGTACGGCGTGGTAGGACAATGTCAGAGATTTCGGGATATTTCGATTTCAGTTTCTTTATTCTGAAAATCGTCCATCCGTTCAAATAAGCACTTCCCAACAGACATTTATTAGCGAGAGGATCAACACACAAATATGTGGTGCAATACTGTAACTACCAAACGCAAAGTAAATGTTGCAAATTCATCACCATCAATGTTACCCCGTCATATATCGGTTTCATGAAAAAAGAAAGTAACTATCAAAGCAAATTCTTTGCGATTGATCCTATTGACTAATGCATCTCAAATTAACATGATAGCAGAATTTGCGTGAGGATTAGGACGTGAAAATCAGCGGTATATACACTTTTCACATAAACGTTTCCAAGTGATTTTTGGTGCCATATGAATGTATGATGCTTTAGCCAAGCTGAACAATCATGGAAAATGTTTTATACGTTAACTACTTTCTTCTCGCTATTTGCACAGATATATATAGGTGAACTGGTTTGTGTACTATGAACAGTTGCTGAAAATGGAGCCAAAATGCACACTTCTGATCCATTCTGGAGAGATCACCCAGTGTTTCAAACGATACTTGGCCATCTCGGGAATGCGTTTTCTCTTGAGTGGAAACTAATAATCATATTCGATCTAAAAAACAAACTTACACACAGCATTAGAACGTTCAAAGCAAAAGCTTTTCAAGTGTGTCCCTCATGTTGAGTCGCAAGACCGCGTTTGGTGACGTCACACCTGGGGAATAAGTTTCAAGTCGGGAAATGAGAGTTTATTCATTCCCATCTTCCTTTGCGACAGATCGTGTCTCAAGCACGACGATACATCTCAACCAACTGACTGTGCGACGAAAGATGAAAGGTTATTAATGCTGTTCCTCTACACTAGTTGGTGGGTACAGTTCATCGAATATATGTGTATGTCATCTGGTGAACACCGATTCGAACCGTGCGGATCCCATTTTAAGAAATCTGTGCCAGAAATATCGAAATAATGGGGCTTTTGTCTGCAAGCGCTTCGTTTCCTTCTGATCAGCTGGTCGTGTAGAAGTTGCTTTGCAGTTCCATTCCATCTTATTCTGTGGACAAATCTCAACCACCACAGACGGCTGAATGTGGTCGTGGCCTCACAACTCGCCCGTCAGACGACCTCCGTATCCGGCACCTTCTCAGTTCACTAAACCCTAAGTATCTGCCTCAAACAGTGCGGCAGCCGCTCTAAAATCAAAATTTTGCGCCGGTTCTTAGTTCTTATTCCATCGCCTTACAAGAGGGCTGACGGAGCCATCACAGTGTAGATGTACAGCTTGGTCTCCGTTCACCGGCTTTAGTTCCTTCACATCCGTTGCTCGAGTTTGCCAAAGTGTACACTGGCCTAAGCAACACAAGATCTCAGCTCACTGTTGACGGTCACATTAGCATATAAGATAACGGCAGTCCATGAAGTAGTCCAAAATACGCCACAAAAAAGTAACGATGACTTACTTCTCTGAGAACAGAGGCATACCTCTGAAAATGAAGCAAAACAGCTTAGTGTGATATCAGGAGAAACAGGGTGTTGCTTGGATCTGGGGACCATTCTCATTCAATGGCGTCCAATTAGCGCAGAAGCACAAGAAAATATAAAATCACACGAAAAGTCCAAACCATTTGCTTCACTCAGGAAGTATCTGCAAAACTTTGAATAGGATATTTTCAAAGGAAAGCATTCATTCATTTGCCTGTTGGTTAAGTGGATTAGATGAGGTGGACTATCATAGGTGAGACAGTCAGCTTGATTCCGCGTGTTAAAACGAAATTCATACAAAAGTAGTAATTATCCGATTAGACAGATTTTCTGCTCCTTTTGGGTCCTTATGGTCCGAGGATTTTAAAATGCACTGCAAGCTCTCAGGTCTTGGCTGAAAATCACCACTCATTTGGGGTGGTAAAATACAGAGATGATTCATTCAAAAGACGGAAATGTACAAGGAATTTCGTATATCTTTTTCTAAATGTGGTCTCTTATAAGGCCGACTGGACGACAAGGAAGGCGCTGTGAATATGTTATAAACACTGCTTCGCAGTTCAAAGTACGCTTTACAGAGAGTTTTGTCGTCTTCATTTGGCTTAAGTAGAAAAAATGTGGTTGTCTAACCAAGGTTTTTCGCGTAGTAGATGTCTGATTGTTGTTGCGGCATGGTCACTATAGGAAAGGTTTTCTAATTCGATTGCTCGAAGCGCTGCTTGTTTGGTTTTACACATAAACCCCCATAAATGTTTACACTTGCCAAGTTAATTTACATGTACAACTATCACGCCGCTGAAATGACCGGAATCGTCCATAATCAACTGAATTTTTTTGAGTAAGCAGCTCGGTAGGCCTGCACTTGCGATTTTCTAACCGGGCTTCTCTCAGTAATTAGCGTAATTGCGACAGATTTGTCCAAGTCACGTAGGCGAGTCAGGTGCCAACTGACACACACATCAGTGGAGTTTGCATCATGTACCGTCCACTGCTTCCACAGCCAGCGCCATAGGTTCGTTTTCCCAGGGATCTGAATTAGAAAGGTAGATAGTCGCACCAACCTTGGTTGGCTTTTGATTTTTCTTATTTTTACTTGATGAGCATAGCTGACAAAATACCCCACTGACACTCCTGTAAAAGCAAAACTTGAACTTTGTATCAATTTTGATCCTTGATATCCAGGTCCATTATTCCATTCTTTTATTACCGAATTATAGGTTTCGCGGCCTGACACGACAATACTACCGCCGAGCTGACGCTGTCATCCTTGTCTATGACGTCACCAATATACAGAGTTTTTTGTCCGTGCGCAAATGGGTACAAGAGGTTCGGGACAACACTGATGAGTACACAGTGCTCATGATACTGTCGAACAAAATTGACTTATTACCCGAGGTTTCCTCAGACCAGTATCCTACCAAGAACGACCTGGATGCTCTTTGCACAGTAAGTACAATATAATTCAGTTGGTTCGATCTGTAATTTTACCTTCGTTCGATTAGGCGACGTGTCAGAATTTGGTTAATTTGGTGTTCTTAATTTCTCATCGCGAACGGTGTGTGTCAGAGGAGATTGGGACAAGTCTTCGAAGGTGTGATGTTCTAAGTCATCTGGCTCAATATTAGTTTGACAGTGACGATCGACCGTAGCTCGTCATCACTCTCAAGTTGGCAATTCGTTGTATCAACTTCTAGGCTGGCCTTCGAATGCACAAATGGGAATTTCGACATTAAGTTGGCGACCAGACGCCTAGAAACCACAGCTTACAAGTAAGAATATAAGGCTTTAGGTATGTTCATCTCACATAAGTACGGCACTTTCGAGCCTCAACTATCAGTTATCATGTTGTGGTTTAAACACAAGGAATCTATGTCCACCAAGGTTCTAATTTGAGCTGCGAGCCCGAAATAATTCGATGAAGGAAATCTTTCCGCCTGGATCTTTTAACAGGGTCCTGAGGGCTGCTATTAAAAATTATGTTTCTTGGAGGTCTTGCTACCAATACTTTTGTCGGTTTTGCTTTCAAATGTAGGTTGTGACCCCTATGTGAATTCAACATATACAAGCAGGCAAACAAAGACCATCGAGCGGGTTCATCTCATGAATCCATACGGGGTTTCGAATCCGTTACTTTCCTGATAGAAGTATTCTTACTGCCATCCAGCCTTGGTTGACCAATAAACAGTCTGTTCAACTTTCACAAGTATGGTATTTAATCTCATCCACCCGTTAGCTGGTGCTGATTAACTGCTGATTGACTGCTAGTCAGCCAGTCGTGACTGAAACGTCGAGAGTCCACTTTCGTTCCCTAAAAGCATCTGAAAAGTTAGGAGTATAGTCAAGGAATGTCAAACATTATTGTGTACTGCAAATCCTTGTACAACTTCCATGTGGGTCCTTGGCGTAATGTTACTCCCAAAATTCTTATATCAAGGGGCACGACAGCTTCAGAGTGCCCTTTATGGGGAAAAAAGATTAATACAGCTGTATTTATGGTTGTTACAGAATGTTCCACAAGGGCTCCACAATCTTGGTGAGAGAGCGAGAGCGTCGACTTATAAACGGCTGGTAGTGACGGGCTGGTATTCTGACCAGTCAAAGCGTAGCTTTGACCCACTCAACTGCGCACTGATGATGTCTCCTCGTATGGTGACGAAACGTTTGCAAGCCAATTGCCAAGCTCGGCGAACAGATCAACAGCCACCTGATCAACAACCAGTAAACTCACCCGAGCTACCAATATTTCAACAAATTGCCAAAGCGTAGCTTTGTTTGCCCCCCTAGGCAACACTTTTAATCGATGTAATGATAACTTATTAAAACTGGCTAGCCTCCGGAGAAATAGTAACCGTGTTTCTGGGCTGATCATCGAAGGCTAAATTTACTGACAGACTAGAACCTTGGCTTCCAGCTTCAAAAGTGTCCCACTACTTGCAAGTGTTAAGAATAGTTAGCTGACAAGATAATAAGGTAAAGAAATTGAAGGCCGCAGTCATGATGTACACCCCCAACTTGGTCTTCCCAAAATCAATTATTCAGGGTTCTTGGGCAATTGCACTGCTTGTAGAGGACTAGGTGATGCGTTCAATAAATCACTGTTGCCAACGTAGTTAACAGTGCTGGGAAATGGCTAACAAAAATGGGAAAATCATCTCAAAGACAAACTTACGTGTTGATAGCATGCACTGGGGATAAGCAAAAGCATACAGGAATCAGTCAATTTAAGGGTAAAATGTACGACCTATCTGACGTGTCCGAGTGTTTCTAACTCTTGACTGGAATGTAAGAGTGATAGAACAGTTTTTTTGTTTCACTTATTCTGACCAGTACGTATACCATGTGAATTGCCCGTAATTCGTCCAAACCGATGATTTCACCATGAAGATCCCGATAAAAAGATAGGTGCATGGTAATGGACGTGTTATACGTTGAAGAAAACCATTAGTTGAAGCCGAGCTTGTATAACAATCAGCTTTTCGGGGTTGCCACAAAATGTCCTTTTGAATTACGAGGATCTGGAGCCCTTTTCGTGCCTTACTAGGTCCCCTACACTGAGAGATCTGGTGTCTTTGTTTGAACCATCTACTGAGGTACGGAATTAAAGGACTAGACAGATGCCATCCGCTTGTGCCAAGGTATGATGTCTGATCACCACACAGCCTCCATTAAAAGTTTTCAGCCTTAAATTTCCACCTGACAGCTTTGTATCTAGCAGCAATCCGTGACCCTGTCAGAATGAACACCTGCTATATCTCCTAGACAGATAATCACCGAGCTTCACGATGGAAGGCCCAGGATATGGGAGGAAAGCGGCATATGCTTCAGCTTCCCACCCACAATGCTGCCCTTGGGGCCGCTCAATAATATATGTTTTCTTTAAAATATATCATACCAGACCGCATGTATCTGAACACATCTTAGAATAAGTCAACCCTGATTCCATGCTGCTACTGCTTAAAAGATTACTTCTAGAACTTATGCAATGTTGATCGGAGACACCCAGTGCAATGGATAACTGACAAATGGCGATGAACGAAGGAGATTTGAGGGATCATGGCAATAGCGAAAAGGAGAACAAGTAAAGATTTTAACGTCACGAAATTTACGCCTGGCATAGGGTTCTGAGAACTTGTTATCTGACGCCAAGGAAGTTGTAATTCTACTAAGAAAGCAAATCCCTAGTTTACTCAGTTAGCTGTCAAATAGGTGTGTTTAGAACGGACTCACCTTGAAAAAAAAACGAATCACGTGTTATTCACCAGCTTAGTAATAGTTAGCAAGTTTTCTTAATAATTTATAACAGAGTTCTTGGAAAGAATGATAATATAAACAAGTCAGTGTGAAAAACAAAAACTTGGAACCAGGAAATCACCCGGGTTATAGAGAAAATAGAATTTGGTCCCGAGAAAAAAAGGTTGAGCCCAGATATTCGTATATGGGAGCATTTTACACTTTGAATGAGTGAACGTTTCCGAAATGATCAAGCTTAGGCCCCTTCTAATAAATATGGGTCAATTATTTCTTGCAACGGTAGTCCTCGCAGAGCGATTTTTTCCTCCCGATCTGCACTGAGAGAGAGAATATACTGCAATCAGCACGGATGGGCCCTATGGCATTTGAAACCTTAATACTAACGCATTATTTAAAGGCCTTCCGTGAATACGCTTTGTGTCAGTTGACACATCTCATATTTTCTATTTTTAGTTTTTGGTTCCGATTTCATGGGTGGTCTGATATATATCACGTCTGCTCCTAGGATAGTGTCCTGTATATTGTTTGCATAGTAATGATAATCTACTTCCACAGTAGCTTATGCGTATTCAGTGGAATGTTTTTCTAATTCCTTTTATGTCACAGGAAAACGGTGCGATCGGATTTGAAGTTAGCGCAGCTTTGGGTCAGAATATTGAACTCGCATTCAACGACCTAACAAAGTAATGGTTCCTGTTTGTTCCATCTTAATTTGCGATCATTCCATTTTAGATTATTAATGGTTGAGGAAGACTTTAAACTCAAAAATGTGCTAGAACTCAAAGAGAATGAACCTCCACCGAAAAAGTCATGCTGTGGTTGATGAAACGGTAGTTAATAAATCGGGTAATGACTGACCTTCGGATCTCAGAGGAGACGACTTCTGGTTAATTTATTTTAGTCTGTGTTTAGGGTTGATGGATCAGTCGGCAGAATTTCTCTACTTACTCGTGCAAGTTTGTAACTATTTTATAAGTGCTCTACTTCCGAATTCCTATATTATTCACATAAGATCAGATTACACTGAACTCTTCTCAGAAACAAATCTCTATTTTCGGCTCTTTGGGATTCGGCCTCTTTTCCAAGTTCTCTATTACACACCCGTAATCACTGGTGAATGCTATTTTCAGATTCGGCCGAAAAAGACCATTACTTCGAAATGAGTAACATTCTGCCCATTGTTTCTTTTCTGCTATCATCATTGGAGGGTCTAACAACATTGATACATAGTGGAGGCTGGCTTTACTAATCCTAGAAATATTAGGCCCTAGCACACATAAACAAAACAAAGAGCTTTTACAGACAGAGAGAGAGAGTTTCACCAACTTCATGCATGTTCAACTACGGCTGTTTCCTCCGATATGGACAACATCAGATACCCGAAGATATATTATCTTTTCCGAAAATCTGTTCCTTTTACTTGGATAACCATCACCGACAAATCCTTTAACTTTGACTGTTGGGGCTTGTCTGTGAGCTTCTCCACTCGAAAAAACATGCTTCATCCATAAATTCTTGGAAGAGAAGATTCCTCTACCGAACACAAACCAACCCTAGATCACCATATACCTTGGCATTGGAAAGATACTATGTCAGACGCAGAGTCAGGTTGCTTATTAGCAATTCCCGAAACAGCCTACACAACTATGCGTTTCACAGGCACATAAAAAACAAACTATCTTGTCGTGCTGAAGCCACAATGGCTTCAACACTCAGAAAATTACGCGGAGGTATGTAAATTAAAACGGAACGCCAAATTAGAGGGTCTCACAAAGAAGATTAACCATACAAACAGCAAGGGGTGGAGCGATCATCTCGTCGTCATATCAATGTGATTGAAGCGGAAATCTTTACAAACGGGGTCAGTATAAACATAAGCGATATATTTCTTAAGAAGTAGTTTGTCAGCCTAGAACACGCCTTGAAAACGGAACAGCTGTAGGGAAAGTACCGTCAAGAAATTCGACTGATTCCTAAGGATCATTATAGATTATTGCCAAAAGCTCAGGAAACTGTGAAGGGAGAAATGTAATAATGTTAGAAGATAAGGGAAAAAGAAGAAATTAAACTTTAGTGGGATGACGATTTATGCCTCTTGAATGTGCTGTACAAACATGAATCGCACATCTACAAAGCATCACGAGCCACATCGACCTTCGCATGATGCCATTAGCCAAGTCATCTTGTTTGCTGCATCTAGGTGGGAACAGGCTCCTTCCTCCTATTTCACATGTTTTTCCTCGTCTTCTCTTCACCCGTTGCTACCTACATCAACATAGGCCCATTCTTGAGGATTGACGGATCCATTGGTCACCTATTGCTTTTACCTACTACGTCCACACTGAAACAAACTGGACAACAGGCTACTCTTGCATATTCGCTGGACTCGCTTTCTAGTGATGTGTGCTCTCTCCCTGAAAGGAGATTTCGAGTTCTATGTCTGATCAACTGCGCTTCCCCATGGTTTCCACTCCCTACTAGTTTCACAATGGTGGTGCTGCAGCAGCTGCAGCTGGGTCTCCTAGGAGTTAGAATTCTTCCAAGCCACCGAGCCAATGACTCTGCTTCAACGGTAGCCGCCTCTGTGCGGTTAACCCGGCAACCCCTGTGACAGGATCCCGAGAACGCGCCGAAAATCGCTGACTGTTCAATGTACTAGCCTACGCCCAAAATATTGCAGTTCTGGTATTCCCAAAGATGGTTTCTAGAGGGCTTTGTTGTGTTTCTTGTTGCGGCGCGTCAAGTGCTCAGACATTGCTATAGTTGTTGGAGATGTGAATGCACAAGTAGGTAGACTTACTTCCGCTGAAATGCGAGCGTGTGGTAGTCTAAGACTGGAATCCAGACACGGGAAATGGTGAACGACTGATCCAGTTATGTGCTGACCGCAGGCTTTTTTTGGTGCGGCACTAACTTCTGAGAAAGCCGAAGCCGCTTGGTTACATGGTGCCAATCGCATGCCAGCCAACACACAGGCCACATCGCTCTAATCTTTAGGTAACGTATCTCGTTCTAAAACACTTGTGAGGATTCGAACCAACAACCTGTTGATATCCGCTTCTGGTTGCGCTTTCAAGGCGGGCTTGCAGGATACCCACACGACTCCTCGCCACTGAGAAGCTCTCCGGCCCTGATGTGAAACGTTTCCACAAGAACCACGTATATAAGTCCCTTCAGGATAAAACGTCTTCTGAGATTGTCCCTCATAGGAAGGCATCGTCCACAACTCTGAAGGATGCTGGGCGCTCCGCTTGTGGAATGACCCAACCAACTAGACCTAGGCACTGGATCTCGAGTAACATTCTGAAGTTTCGCGAAGCTCGGACAAGTACTGTTCCTGGTCGACAGTACACTACTTCCAGATAAACTGTCAGGCTCCATGTGAGAAATGAATCTGCGTAGATCTAGATGCATGTTGAATTCAGAAAGCTAAAAATGGCGGAGGCGAAAAACTCTGAGGGTGTGCATAAAGTGTTCCTGTTGATACGTGCAACGGACCCAGAGAAGGCTCCGGAGGGCGGAACGATTACTGACAGCAATGGTCCGCTAATCTTTAAAAAGAAATGTGCCTGATTTGTTGGGCTGGAGACTTCTGACAGTAATTTGGCTTCCCATCTGCAGTTGTTCAGAGGAATTCTCAACCAGTAACGCCGCCCTGGACAGTAAACCTGGAACCCGTGGTGGCTTCAGGAGTAATAGAGCTGCTGTTCCTAACCAATATCCACCCACTCTGTTCAAAAATGTAGACGAAATCCTCATTCTGTGCTTATATAACCCGTTCGCCTCCCTCTGGGAGAAGGATATTCTTAACAAATAAGGGTGAGTCAATAGTAGTGTCTTTATGTAAAGGGTGCTCATGGCGTGAGTATGACAATTACATAGGCTTGACTGTCTGTTCGAACCAATCAGGAGATTAGTGTCGACATACAGCCTAAGAGACAGTTTTGATTTCGTCGATCAGAATAGATATTTGAAGGTTGATAAACACTCCATGTTCTCCCTGGACGTCGAGTCATTGTTTACCAACATACCACTCACTGAGACAATAGACTATGTTTGTGACTTGATTGAGTGCAGTGGTGAGGATGTTGGAATTCCCATCTCGCTTCTTAAGGAACTCCTACTCCTTTGTACCCATAATGTTCAGTTTACTTTCAGCAATCAAATTTATTGACAGAAGGACGGGGTCGCGATGGGGTCATCTCTAGGTCCCGTGTTGGCAGATTTTTTCATGGCCAAACTAGAGACTCCAAATTTAGACGCACTCATCGGACGGTTAACATTGTATCGTCGCTATGTGAACAACATTTTCGTAATTGCCGACGAAACTATCAGCACAACAGACGTGCTAAGCAGTTTCAATTCAGTCCATACTAATATCAAGGTTGATATCGAATCAGAACAAAACGTACAGTTAAGTTTCCTCGATGTCAATGTTAAAAGGAAGGATCATAGAACGCAAGGTCCACATAAAGCAAACGTGGAAAGGTCAGTATATTGTTTAGTATACGTTCCGTTGCGATGAAAGCGTAACCTAAGTAGATACCTGGCTGAAAAAGTAATGAAGATATGCCCCCCCTACCGCTTAGAAGAGGAACTAAAGTTCTTGGGACGCACATTCCTGCAAAACGTATAATCCTGAAGGGTTCGTACCCAAGACTATGGAAGCCATTAAACCCAAACTTACACAATGTTCGACTTGGGAGAAGGTCGTATACATGAGGCTTTCATTCAAAGGTGACTCGTTTGCTGAACTAATCACCAGGAGGCTTAGAAACTCTATTGATACGTCATACCTAGCCGCTAATCTGTGGTTGAGCTTCAACTCCAACCTCACTATCAAATTTCGCCTGAAGAACAAATTGCCACGCTTGACCATCAGCTTTCGTGTATACTGATTTGTATGCTCGTGCCGAGCATCATATGTTGGTCGCACGACAAGGAATTTGTCGGAAAGAATGTGAGAACACAATCCCGTATGTCTGATTGGTAGTGGGAAGACACCAGGCTCAAACGCGATTGCATCACATTTGGTCGAAACTAGTCATGTCACAGACAAGGAGCAATCCTTCACCATCAATAGCGGGTACCTCTGAACCGATCACGACTGGTACGATCCAGACTACTGTCGATCGCAGAGGCGATTGGAATCTGACTGCTGGATCCACAAATTTGCATCCAATAGAAACTTGTACGACCTCTGAACTTGAACTGACCAAGGAAACATCCGGTCCCACGAGTCTGTCTGAGGGTGACGTCACTTACTTGATTCCATGACCCATTGACCTATCTCTCATACAAACCCCTTTCCTTTGATTTCTATTTCTCTAAGGTGTATGTAGCCCTGATCTTAACCTTTCCACGTGATTTCTGGTATTAGCCAAGAGGAGCAAACACAGAAAACAAACTTTGTTCGCTACCTTCTTCGTTCTCATGACATGGATAATAGTTCGACTTCTTTGAAACCAGATTCTTTGAGTCGACCATCTTACTTCTTTTTGTGAAGGCGCGTGAGAACGGGACCCGAGAACAGAAGCAGGACTCCGGCCGGGAATTGGCTGCGTGGACCGCTTGTTAACACTCCGATAAGTGTTAGAGCCACGAGATGCGCACAAGTGCCCTACAATCTCGATGCTCATTGACTTTAAGAGCGTGTTTTGGGTCTTTTCACGCATGGGCAATGAGATGTGCCCAAGAAGTTTTTAAGTGTCATACGCTGTTTGTATCCACTTACTTCTGGGAGAATGAGTGTTCAAAAAGCTAGCCAAAGGCCTTCTTACAAGCAGGGTTGTCTGACAAGGATCTCCATCCTATCCTCTTTAAAAGATTTCTTTATTGAAATAACGAGTCAAACAATGGAATGTTCCCAAAACCCCAGTATTCAGGTTCCTCCGAGCGAGAACCTTGTCGATGAGGAATATGCAGTCGAAATTGTTCTCATCTTTGGAAGAAGGAAACGGGAGAGCAAGCGTCACTTAAAACGTCGACTTAGTTCATTTGGTCCTCCGGTAAACGTTTCACGTCCACAAAGTTCAGAGTAGTGCTGCACAACGTCCAATCTTTCAACATGCGTCTAAGGCTTCAAGATGCAACTCTATAATTTGAGGAACAGTATACGTACCTCTAAAGTTGAATTAGATCTGATGATAGCATGACAGATGGTTCCTATGTAGCAGTTTCGAGGGCCAGAATAACGCTTGCTAATTAACATCATTTATGGTAACAAAAGGCCATTTCACTCCGGCTTAATGGACACTTTCATCGGACTGCACTGCTGGCTATATCGCTGTATGGCTGCGAGACTTGGCCATTTTGGGAGAAGGAACTGAGACCACTCTGGTTTTCGACCGCCGATGTCTCAAAACTATAATTGAAATTCCCCAGAACGGGCGATCAGCAGATGGGTTTCGGTGGAAGAGGGGTGCTTTTCTGAGAGAATGCATCCAGCACTGCAAGCTCAGGTGAGTGGACCATGTGTCACGCAGGCCGAGTTACCACCTGCTGAGACGAGCGTTGTTTCCCGAACTGAGCAGATGGTTGTGTCTACTGCGGGAATAGGTCAGCATAGGTCATTCAGCACGAATCAGGGAGGCCGATCTCGAAGACAATCTGGACAACAACCACTGAGCAATCAACAGAATGGCATATCGGAAAAATCCGTTTTTAGTTGTAGGTCACCTATGTTTCAGAAAATTATCATATATTCACGCACACCAACATTCAAAAAAACACCATTCTTTGACACAACAACTCACGGATAGCAAAAATCTCCCAAAATAATTATCAAAGTCCAGGAGGAATGCTGGCGGTAACCATTTCAGTCGCATTTTGCACAGAAACCGAAGAAGACACTCGTAGTTCATGTGTTTGCTTGGCTTCAAACATTTATTTAGTGATTTCTGTGTGAGCATCTCGAGCTGTTTTAACTGCTAATTTGCTTTTCATTATCTATCTGACAAAACCATTGTATTAGTCTGATGTGTGGCTTGTGTCTATATACTACCCACTGACAATCACGATAAACAGAGTATAAAGTGAAATACACACGACCGATCTGTCACTCGGCCAACCATCTAAGCATGAATGCCCAATTCCTGGCGGGCAGGACACACCATTTTCAAGAGGCATACAAGCCCCGGTGTCCAATAGTACATGGAAACGGAGTAACACTTTTGCACTGGTTTCTGTTTAGACAACGGATTTGCTGACAGCGTAAAGCGAATGAACACAAAATGGATAATGCAGCTAAACAGTATTCTTTGCCCATAGCACCGATTTCCAAATAACGCATCGTGGTTTCCGAGAAAACTAATCAGCGATCCGACTACATCCGTACAAATGTGTCAGTTTTCATGGAAAAATGTTATTGAGAGTATCAAGAGATCGATATCACTTGCCAATGGAAATTAGAGGGCAGTCAAAAATGCAAAGTATGTGCCGTGAAATCGTAAACGCCGGAACACAGGTTTCCACACATATTGCACTTCCAGGGTTGATCTACACAATGTAAACCCATGTGTAGAACAAATAAGGGTTGACGACGGAATGAGATTTGACAATGGGGGCAGAAGTATCGAGAATCTGATTGACGGTGGGCGCTTGAAAAAGGGCCAGGGTCTATCTGTTCATTTTGAGGATGGTGGCCTGCCTCGGTGGTCCTGGCATGGCGAAACTTCCGAGAGTTAATCGGAATCACAGAACATGAGGTAATGTCACTAGTAGGATGCGATTGAACTCGACTTCCAAACATACAGAATCGTCGGTTCTTCGTTCTGTGGAACGACTTTTTGAGAAGACTGACAGAACAGCAGGCGGCCACAGGAGTGGAGGCAACTTTTGGCTTGGCACTCATTGGCGTTCGAAGATAATCAGTGTTGTGAGATGTACCCTTAGACTAAGAGTGGGTGAGAAAAAGAGTAAAATAAGTCGAACAGTTATGGCCAGTATGTCTTATTTGTAATTGAAATGACGTGCAAACTTCTTTAAGAAATAATCATAAACTGAGCGGTGCCCTGAAGCCTTGGAGTGGTGGGAAGTCACACCTGAGAACAGCGACCACAGTGCAAATGTACAGTTTAGAGATCGTGCATGGGTACAGCAGAGGTCATTAAAATTTCCGAAAAGAATTTTACCTTGATCAGTGTGGTCCAGCTTTTGGGCAGTACTTCGTCTTCGACAGATTCATTTGCTCTACTCACGGAGTTGAGAGTAGTATGAATATTTTGAACGTTTACCTCGGAATCGAATAAATGAACGCCAAACCAGATTGCAAAGAAAGTTGCCTGACCCTCTCTTCAAGTTGAAGACCACCAGCATTGAACCCACCAAGGATCTAGATGGCTGCTTTAGCCGTCACACATGGCCCTGAAGATTTTTATAAGTGGCTGCTTTGTAGGCTTTGTCATCCGGAAGCTCTTTATGACTGCGCACCACCAATGCACAGCAGCGACGTTACATATTACGACTCCGACAGCCGCTTTCATAAACCATATTTCTTGAATCCAGAATTTGCTTTTTCCCATATTGTGCCTTCTTAATAAGCTGTGCATACGCTCAAGTGGTTTGATATTTCACGAGTATTTGTTTTTGCCCATATAGAGGCACCCACAAGATCAGCGTAGTTTCAAGCAGAGTTGGTTGCACTTTGAATGCAAGGTGCAAAAAGCTTATTTTACAGACAAACTTTTCTAAAGAAACTAAGCATTATAATGAGGCTGCGTATTAACAGTCTATTTATATTTTATGAGAAGATGGATGGGAATAAAGTTCGCAGGTCTCGGGCAGGTGGAAACTCTTAGACTGAGCTTGCCGTCAGTAGGTAAAGGTAAGGAAAGTAAAAAGTAAAGGTTATTTTTGTGTGCACAGCGTCTGAGAAGCAGGCTCACCCTTCATCACTTTGTAACTGTCATCTTGTTTTTTAGGGAACAGCTCAATTGGGCACGGTTCAAGCTGATTCTGATGGCCATGCTTCATGGTTGGTGGAAAACACTACACTGAAACTCTGGAATTTGATTGGCCGTTCAGTAGTGCTGCATGATCTAACCGCTTCTTCCAGGTATGGTTTGTACATTACCCCGAATTCTCGTAAGGTTCGTGCACTTCTTAACAACTGATGAGTTCTCGATTTTCACTGACTGTGCACTTAGCCTTTAAGAGCAAAGCGGTCGTAAATTTTTAACCAGGACAGTCACTTTGCTGTCGGTCTGACTCTAGCGTTGGCTGGTTCGCCGGTTCACAGGCGACGTTTGAGGTCCACCAATACAAATTTCACATTCTCACACGGCCGGTAAGCTTTAATAAGGGTGAGACTCAAATCAAGTGCTCCTCTCTAACCAAACAAGTACTTCACTCCAACAGGGGGTCATGCCTCCTGACAGCCGCGTTGTGTTCCTTCATTCGTGTACACAATTTTATCCCAGTTTGTCCAACGTAGAATTTGTTGCAGTTGCTGCTAGACAAAGATGTTTTAAGGAAAACAAAGCTAAAGCAACCATCTCTCCCCCCCCCCCGGCAACCAGATCGCTCCCCGTCGAGCGGACATGCAGCAGTGAACTTTGTCACCTTAACAGGACACCGGCTATTTCACCAACGTATCAACTTCTCAGATTTGATCTAAGAGAACCAGCGTGCAAAAATGATCTCCAGGAAATTTTGAAAGCAGTACAGACTAGCTGTTACTGCCTACAGTGAAGAAACCAAAAGCTATCAATGAAACTACTTATAAGGTTGCTGAAACTCTTCGACAGGCCACGACCTGTTTCGCTCCTCTTGGAGCTCATTGGGTAGGCGAAACATCGAGTTCTTGTGAACCTCATGTTCTACTGTATGTTCATTTGAATCAAATCATAGACGAGATATTCGGGTGAGTTCCCTGTGAAAATCAAATTGATATGAACATGAGTATTTGTCGAAATCCAGTAATCAACCTTACACTATGTCAAACAAGTACTCACGCCCTCACCCTCGCCCTCAGCTGATCGTGGTGAGTTGCAGCTTGTAACGCCTAGTGGTGCGGGATAGTTTGGCTGAGTTGGATCATTTAGGCTAACCGCTGCGTTTAAAGTACACGAGTGACGGTCAAACGAAGAGACGAAGAATGAGACGTCGATACCCGAGCGAATGAGAATTGTCAACTGTAAGATGAAATGGGCACACCCATATCCCAGATGGTTTGATAGACCGTTGAATACTGGTCTATTTCGACTAGACTGAGGAATTCTGTAGTACACAAGGGTCTACGAAACGCAGTTTTCTCCGACCTGTTGAATTTTGAAATGGGGACATCTCCGTTGTTCCTCAGTGTTTATTGTTTATCAACTACCATTGTATGCCTGCAGAATTCCACCACTGGCAAATGGTACATACTCTGCTCTGCAACTGGAACATGCCAAAACATATATTCTTACTTCAGAGGATGAAGCATTCGCAGTATGTAATTGTAATTACCTAATTATTTGTGCACTAAATTTACAATTATGGAATTGAAGCAGTAAAGTTGCGCAAGTGGTTAGTTTCCGTGAAGATTGAAAGAATCCTCAACAAAGACTGCGTTTTTTTTCGAAAATATTAGCATAGAGTGTTACAAAACATTGGTGATTACTCGTTAGTTTACTGACACTGTAAATGAACGCCTCAAGTCTACATAAACCTCATTTGCCCATCTTGCCGTGATGACCGAGCTGGCAAGGCACTTTGTTCTTTGCTATATTTGCCTTAGCGCTCATACCTCCCAAAACTCCGGTGAGTAATACGAGCAGGAAAAAATACTCCTTTTTTCCCATGAATCGGAAAAGGGGAAATTTTTTAAAAACATTATGCTTTCTTCAGACTCTTTTTCAACTTCTCCGTGGAATGTCTTGCGATTCGTCCCATAAATTCCAAGGTAGCAACAAGAAATCGGCTTACACAACCATAGAGGTGCGAATTGCGGTGTCTTCATAAAACTTTGCTTTATAAAGCTTGCGATCAATTTTACAGCTGAGATCCTTTGAATCATAGTTTCTCCTCAGCAAAATTGTGAAATTCGATGAGTTTGTGAAATTCTCGGGGCGTGCTATTTAAGCTGTGGGTTACTGAAGACATGAGCGCAATGGTAACCTTGGGAAATGAATCAAGAGTATCTAAGAGCAATTGGTGTAGCAGAAAAATTGAGGATGAGATTGATTTGCACTACAATGTTAATGTCCTCACTTTAGTGCTATGGAATTCGATGGCAAATTGCATCAAATTGATATTTAGCTCACAGAACTGTACACAACATAACCGATCCCATCTGAAGATGCGTGATTTGATCCTCTGGACAGTCAACTGTGTGAGTGCATTTAGTAGCGTGAATGAGTTCCTGCCAGATTTTTCATCAGAGATTTGTCCTTCAGTAAAACCAGTGTATGCTGGATGGCCGAGAGGCACTGTAAAGCTGTTTTATTTCCTTTAAGGATTCATCTGAAATGCATCCCACGAAACTTCTAGAGGTTGCAAACCATCGAACCACAGGTTAGTCAGTAAACACGACCGTTCAGCCATGAGCCGCTGTTCAGCACTGTTTTTCACTCCAGGTCAGTTTCATTCTTAAATCCACATGAAGTGGTCAAACGTAGTCACTGGCTCCTCGAATGGCTACTTCTCAGATTAAAGTTTGACGCATCCAGTGAAGTTAATTCTTCCTCTGAGTTACTCGTAGATCGTTGTTCTAGTTAAACTGAAACAGCCGTGTATACTGTCAGGCACTGGCCTTACCACAGAAATACAGATTGCTTGGAAAGTGAACTAAGTAAACCACACCACTGGGTTCCGCACTAGATCAATGAAGATTTATATGTACCCGGATATCTTTCTGAGGCTCCCATGAGTTTATGGCATGAGTTCCAGAGAAGGTTAGGATCAAATGTTGGACATGCATCAACGCAATCACCTCCCCAATACAACTGAAATTAGTTTTCAATGCAGCACAATAGCCTACCGTCTGGTTGTTATGCACTTGCTGGTATCCATTTTGCACAACATAACAGGCTATGGTTGTAAATGGGAGAATAAACCAAAGAAGTCCCTTCAACATAAAGCATAGTCGGTAACAATAAAAAGCACTGCTTGTTGCGGTGAGAAAACTTAGTCGTCGGGGGGAGTTAAAAGTGGTGACCCTCAACACCAAAGAAGCTCCAGTGAATTCGCAGGTGAAAAGCGCTTTAATGTTAGTCACTTCAGAATTAGTACGCAAGGAACGACAGCAATTCACTGATAGTCAGTCAAATGTAGTCGTCCAGTTTACTCTTAAGCCTTAGTTTTCCAGTCTTGTTCACACATTCGTATCCACTGAACCGCGCAGATCTAATCTTAAGTAGATACACGTTCAAAAGAAGTAAATCTGTAAAATGGCTGAATATTACAACCCTTTTGCGAAAAATTCGGTGTTAAGTAGAAAGCATCCGAGAGAACTTACACTGTTCACGCCATGTGGCGCTTTTTCAGGATTCGATGCTGTCGCGTAAAGACCAAATCGACGCTCAGTCTCCAAGTGAGGGTGATTCTCGGTATCCGTAAAAACGGTCGGTGCGGACCTGCTTCGAGTGGTAACTGAATCTGAATTGATTGAAGGCAATTTTGCATGGAGCAATGTTGCCACTGCGGCACTTTTTACGAGTGTGTTTCCGATCAAAGTCCTGGCAGACTCAGAGGTCAATGAAATTGGGTTGGGAAGATCGTTTGTTTTACTGTGGTTATTGAATTGGGAACTCGTGATAAGTTCAGGTTTCGGAATTGTAAGATCAGAAGCTGCTTCATTATACGTATCGCAAATAACCCTAGCGTGATCCGAATTAGGAGAACTTGGCAGATACCCAGTGTCCTCTACCTCCATCAAGATAGAGGAATTCACCTTTGATTTATAGCCTTCCTCATTCCAGTTTTCTACAGTTCTTTGTTGTTCCGTGGTTTTTGTCCTAATATTTGCATCATTTTTCCGAGTAGCCCGGAAACTTGTGGTAGACAGTAATTGTCCAAAAATTCGACTGTTTTCGGATTGGAGTTCTGAGCCACAGCGTTGCAATCTGGATTGAATATCCGCCTCAGTTTTCAGACGTGAGGCGGTGAGTGATTGGTGGAGTTGGATTAAGTGAGGGATCGTTAGCTGATTGGACAATGCTTCAATCAAAGAATCGGCACCCATTGACTTGGCGTTGGAACAGCCCTCTGAAGTATTTTCTGAATTCGTGTTTGTTGGTGAAGCCAAGCACAGTTTAGTGTTTCGACTGTCCATTGCATTTCTTCTGAAGCACGGTAAACCAATCAGGTTATCGGTTTTTCTGACTCCGTGACAGATACCGTCTTGTACATTCTCCATCACATGCATTGCTAAAGTGTCTCGGTTGTGAAAATCCGTTCCACATTTCAGGCACACAAACGAACCACCACCTTGTGGAAAATCGCCAAGAAATGATTGTCTTATCATTGAGAAACCTGCGTAAATGTAGTAGAACTACGGGTTATATGGTTGTGCGGAAATACTTATTAATTCTGATTTATATTCCACAAACGCAACCACAGAAAATGGGATGTAAGTGATACAAAGTACCTAATGTGTACCCACAACATATTCGTTTTTAGTATGAGATTATGCTTTATTATCATTGGAGCTCAACAGCAGCATACACTTTTGAAGTGCTATCGCAATCGTTCAGGTAGAAAGGAATGATACATTCCGCTGTCTGTCATTTTAAACTTTCAAAACGACTAGAGTACCAAGCACAGTTTAGTGTTTCGACTGTCCATTGCATTTCTTCTGAAGCACGGTAAACCAATCAGGTTATCGGTTTTTCTGACTCCGTGACAGATACCGTCTTGTACATTCTCCATCACATGCATTGCTAAAGTGTCTCGGTTGTGAAAATCCGTTCCACATTTCAGGCACACAAACGAACCACCACCTTGTGGAAAATCGCCAAGAAATGATTGTCTTATCATTGAGAAACCTGCGTAAATGTAGTAGAACTACGGGTTATATGGTTGTGCGGAAATACTTATTAATTCTGATTTATATTCCACAAACGCAACCACAGAAAATGGGATGTAAGTGATACAAAGTACCTAATGTGTACCCACAACATATTCGTTTTTAGTATGAGATTATGCTTTATTATCATTGGAGCTCAACAGCAGCATACACTTTTGAAGTGCTATCGCAATCGTTCAGGTAGAAAGGAATGATACATTCCGCTGTCTGTCATTTTAAACTTTCAAAACGACTAGAGTACCAGTCTTCATTTATTGATCCACATAGCTCAAAACAAAATAAACAAATGTCCGCCCACAAGATTTTAGTGTCAGCACGGACAAAAAACATTTAAACATTGAAGGATCAAGCATCCGTTTTCGGGAGCCAAAAAAACTTTATTTGAACAAAACCCGTAGCTGGTCACTGTCTTAGATAGTTTTAAATAAGTTTAAAGCCTAGTGGAAATCTTAACCGGTCGTAGCACAATATTCCCGTACGTTTAGCTGAGGGAACTCGCCGCCACGGTTTTCACAGGCTCTTTCATAGCAGACGACAAAAGTAGAAAATAGCAAATCATCATCATACTAAGACACTTGTGTTTATCTCAGAATGTGGATCACCGTCGCGCGCTGTTTTATTGGGGTGTGTTAGGCGACCTGAGTTTACTCATCCAGTCGGACTTCCGCCGATTCACCATTCAACCGGCGACGCTATTCAATCAGATTTTAAGACTTTCTACCGCCAGTGTTTTTAACCAAAAAAGAAGACTGGCATGTATATCCACGCCGCGTCAAGGCCGTTATGGAAACTCACATACTTAGTTGTCTACCAAATGTGTGAAAAACTCAAACCCATCATCAGCACATTTCACAATAGTTGTACAATCTCTTACCTCTCTATCATGATTTGGATAAGGGGCGACTTCACTCATATTATGCCTCGTTTGATGAAGTTTGACCAAATTTTGAGGTAAGTGCTGAAAGCACCTTCCAAATATGTTGTGAGACTGAGCAGACACAGTTGGTGTGCTGCTAGCTTGATTCGCAAAAAACATTTTCTATGGAGTTCAGCAGAGAAGGTACCATCACTATTAGCATAAAAACTCAGTAGAATTAGGTTAACCGTTTACGCTTTAGACAGAGGTTGTTTTCTTTCACTGCGTTTCAGCTTCCATCGTCGGAACGCATAAGCTTCCCAAACGTAATAAGTGAACCAATGTCTTACATTTCATCACGCACTCCATCCGTTAAACGTAACTCAGTGACAAGAGAAAGAATTAGGTGAAAGTTCCTACTATGAATCAAGCTAAGAACATAGCTTTGTGCTTTTCAAGCACGAGACCATTATCTGTCAGTTAGTATGCTTTGCACTAGGCATTCTGGTAGCCATCTATATTCTTCACAATTGTCTAGATGATTAATGTACTATCGTATTACTATTATTTCATTTCATTGTTTTGAGACTTGTTTGGCTGCGTTTCCCACAGTAGCTAGTTTAGTTGTCCCAAGTTTCAGACTGATTTACTGAAGTCATCTCAGATATGATTCGTTACCGTCTGCGGAAAACAACCATGCTTTGATTAGCATTTTTGGTGATTTACTCATCAAAAGAAGATTGGGGCTCACGTTTTCTAGTTGAAAGAATTATGAAGACGAAATCGACCTACTTGACCTACATTTGGGTTCCTTGTGAACAGCGCCACCAAACAAAACAAGACCCCAAAGTGACCTTGGTCTAAATGCTTAATGAGGAAAGACATTGCGGGCACTTTATGCACAAAAACCCACTACAATGTTGAATCGGGATTCCTCGAATCTTAAAATCACCGATCCGCTCACCATTTTACTTGTGTGCACACATGGCGATCTCTATAAAACTGTTCAGTAAATTTACTTTTTGTTAGATGGATGAAGGTAAACAGTCATGTTGTTTACTCTAAATGATGTAAAGGGCAATATTTACGTGTACGTCTGACGCTTCGTAAGAATGATGTTACCCTGCGTGGACAAAAGACCGAAATTCAAGTTGGAGAGCTGTTCTTTGTAGGTGAAAAAATACAGTCTGCTTACCAAAGGTGTTTTCTATCAACCAAGCCATCAGTTAAAATGACATCCAGAAACCTAAATATCTGGCCCGTAATGCCAGCCCATTGAATTTTTAGTTGACACCCGCGAGCGCAATCACCAAGTATCATGCGTGAATTCCACAGACGTTGTTAACGTCCAACTACGCAAGTGACATTGATGTCAGCTTTTATAGAATAGGCGATGTGAAACCTATGTACATCTAATCTAAAAGTGCACAGCAAATTGACACTTTTTATTCATGATAGAACCCTTTCTCATCTTTGCACTGCAGCCGACGAAGAATAATTTTCACTTAATTCAAGAGGATTGCGGGATTAGAGAGCCTTTTTTCCAGGCGTTTAACTTACTTCCAAGCGGAAAAGAGTCACTACTTGCTCGCAATATAATTATATTGTGACAATTGCTTTCATAATTTTTTTACCTCGACGAAGGCAGTTGTGGGCCACCAGATGTGGAGGAAGCCACTATGGATGATCACAATAAATGAAATATGGATTATCAGCAATCAGCTAAATGGTTGAAGTGCCTAGTAAACTCCCTTCTTCGTTCTCAAACCGGCCATTTGTAGGCTATTAGAAGAAGCTTTTGGAGTAAACAGCTTATCACCATGGCAATTCTCTCAGAAAACCTCAGTCTATTTACTCCAAAGCTTACGGAGCATTCATGCTTCGTCTGCATAGCAATCCACAAAGGAAAATTGTTGTAATAAAGCAGTCTCATACCTCCCATTGAGAGGTTATTATTACCTTGTCAAAGACTACGAAGGTTCTACTAACGGTATCACCACTCGAATCATTCGTGCATCATTCGTGCACGAATGTAATTTTGATATAAAACTATTGATGCTTCGTTCATCACATGTTTAAGAAGAGAACCTATTCCTACTATCCAAGAATTACCTTTTCCATCAGCAATGACCACTGCACCACAGACTGACCTACCGTGGGGGCTCGCTCTCCATTACACACTAGTACTTGAATTTGGGTGGTTTTTCGCGCATCAAGCAGTAGCAACTTTAGAATGCCAGTTTCAGCGATGCAATATTTCCGGGATGGTCACAAGTTACTTAATATAGGTCTGGTCTATCGGCGATCATATGTGTCAATGGAATAAAATAAAATTTAATAGGTTATAATCCATTCTTTGCAGGAAGCTCGTGCGCGCCCGGTGTACACCTGGTGAGTTTTCCGGTCGATTATTTTTTGCACAACAGGGTGTAATTTCAGCCCAAATCAAATCACCTTTCCGTTTCCATGGATTCCATTCAGTGTATTGTCACCATTGCTGTTCAATATATTTTTCCACCAGATTCAACACTTTTGGACTGACAGTTGGTAAATACTTGATTGGAGCTATTTAAAGAGAGCGCTTAATGTGAGTAGAAGTAAACTGTCGTCAAAGAAGAGTACTCTCAATAGAGATGAGAATCGTGGTTTGTAGACTTCATGTGGTTTACACGAAATTGTAGCTAAACTTGTCAAAGTGCGTCTCAGTTTCAGCTCCTAACGAAAAATTAACCTGGTATAAACATTCAGATTACGGTGTTGCTTACCAGTGAGCAGCTAACTCGAGGGAGATTTCGCAACGTTCTTGTGATCGCCGAAAGTCAACCAGATTATTGGGCTGAATTCGACCAATCAGTAACCAGAATACTCAGTTAGCCAATCGCTGTCGGGGACGTCTTCCAACGACAACGATGGCAATGGTCGAGTGGAGCATCATCTGCAGCTGCATTCTCAACGTGTGCCAAATGGGGAAATGCTCATGTTGTAGGGGAGAATGCAGGGCTGTTAGTGTTAGCAAACCTCAGCGCAAAAATTCTGAAGATACCACACTGTCCTAAGGGATCCATCTGGATTTCTAGAGCGCTACACTTTTCCCTTACATCAAAACAAGCGAGGATGTAGTGTCCCAGTATCCCAGAACTGGAGTTGATGTCCACTGTAATCGAGCGTTCAGTCTAACCTTCAGTTTACCACACTTTCAGTTGGCAAATGAGAGTTTGTCTTCACATATTTTCCAACGGGTGCCGTAAAATTGTGTGTCAATGAATGCACTAATTGGGGGAAACTTGGGCTCTTCAATAAGCTAGTAATAGTGGTTCGGTAGTCAACCAATCATGTCATCGTATCCAACGATGTTACGGTATTTTATAAAGCCTTGTAGTGGTCTGTCTGGTTTAGACCAAATAATTTAGATCAAAACAGACTCTCACGAAGAAGAGATGCCTGCAGAAAGCATCTAATGAACTACTCAAGTTAAATCAACACTGCGCCGTTTTCATACTGTCCAGTGTTCAATGTTGGACTAATCTTGAAAGGTTTTCTCGAGTTTTGTCAGAAAGCATATCTTAAATTTAGGTGTTAGAAAGTCGAACCTTTAGCTACAACCAAAGATGCTAAAAAATGTGATCTTGAACCAAGTTCAGTTAATCGGCAACACGCCCAACCTCACATTACCCTCATGACTTGGATTCTTAGGGGTCAGGATGACAAACTCTGCATTCTGAAATCTTATGATCGCTTTTCGCAAATATATTTCATAGTTTATTTAGAAATGAGGAGGAAATGTTTGTCGTTTAGATTTATTCACAAATGTATGTTAATAGACACTATGTATAGATGTGCGAGACTGGTTTACGTGTACCTCATATCCTAGATCCATTTGAGCGTTGAGCAAACCAGATTCTGAATAAGTAACTGAAAATATATTCTTCACATTTCGCCATCTTGTCACAGTAATTGAAAACGAACACACTAATTACACTGACATGGATGATAATCGGATAATCGGGAACTATATTTAGCTTTTAATACACATGCTCTTTGTTCGCCAGTTGCGGCAGAATACAGCTCATTATCTTCATAAAACAGGCTGTAGAAGACCACTCCACCGGTCACTAATGGCTTTTTCCTTCATCAATCAGACGCAGTTCCGAAGTGACCTCTTTACTTTAACCCAAATTCGACAGTTATCTTATCACACCCATTTAAATGCTTCCAACGTAGGACCCAAGAGAATTCCAGCTGAATCCTTCGTTTACGCTACTCTTTAACCGAATCTGTTGCACAAGGACTGTTTCACATTTCAGTTGTTACACTATACGAGAAATCGTAGTGTAATTCATTGTCAGAACACAATTTATAATGTTTTGGAAATTTCTGGACCGCCAGTTACCAGTTACGCATCTCTTGGAGCTCATCACGTAGGTGCAGCACTACTATCGCAGAACATCAAGAACGAGGGACTCAGTTAAGTTCTCCGTAAGTAACAGAGTAATCGGCGAATGATTATAGTTCGCCAAGAGCCCAATGTCGTTTTCAATATGTTTGCAACCAGCATGTGTGAAGCGTGATTGTTTATCCTATGATCAATGTAATTAAACGTACGGTTTACATTCTGCCAAGCACGAAAAAGACGGTAAGTGTGGCAGCATAGGATAAGTATATTAACACACTCCACTTTTCATATTTAGTTCCTGAAGGCGTAACTGGACTTTCGAACTGCAGAACGCAGTGAAAATTTTATTGAAACAGCTTTTTCTCAAACCGTGGCTACTTTTACCCGTCACAGAAGTGTTAAATATTTAACCTAACTTTCCACAGCATTTTTTATGTTGGACATAATCAGTCAGACTATGCACATCCCGCTAAACACCCTACATAAAGAAGGTGTTTGAATCACCTGGTATTTTTTTGTATCTGTCACCAATGTGAGCGACATATCAGGAGCACGTAAAATTTCACACTATACCCTTGTATCTGGTGCATAGGTTCTCTGATAATCTCAGAGCAAATGATCCCAATTTCAAAAGGAAAGCTTTATGCCACATGTATGCGCTGCATTAACACTTGTCGATTAATTGCATTGTCATACACTGTCACTTTATCATTCATTAGATTGGATAATTTTCATGACCTGCTTAAATATATTCTTTTTAAGCTACACTGAAATAAACAGTAAAAAGCTGCTTTCAATGCGGTCGCTGATTCCCACTGTTCCATTTCTCTCGCTCAGTGACTCATCGGTTAAGGTTTATTTGGGCCTAACATCCATAATGGATGTCAGCATACAAGGCTGCTGGTGAATTATGAATAGCTCTCACGGGATACGTGATTTATTCAAGCGCGGTAAGCTCCAATGACTGTGGACGACAATAGAAGAATCACAGGGATTTGCTCTCAAGATAAATTGTATTCATCCATGATAATTAATGAGTTATTAGCTCACTGTGGACAGTATCCGATTCCCATCAACTTTTGCTGGAAAATACAGGGACTTTGAAATCTCGGCCTCTCTTTAAGCTGAAGCAAGGCCATTATATCACACACAGAATCTCTATCAAGAAACTAACTACCAAGTCCAATCAGGAGGTACACACCCTATTCGATAAATACACCGATTTCCATAACAATTTGGTTTTCACAAGAGGCTCACCTGAATCCTAGCTGAATCTGTCATTTGTGCTATTATTCTTCAGCTGTGTGCTGCGCCCACCTGATGAGCCACAAGAAGGAAGAGACCGGTCTTGTGTTATCGACGAGTTTTTAGCAGCCTCATGATTAGTGTATTACGTCTGTATACTGTATTGCGGTATCTCCAATATCGTACGAACTGAAAGTGGAAGTGGCGTGGTCTTTATTTGAACAAGAACATCATAAGCTAAATATTCAGATTGGGTTCAAATGAGTCCCTGGTTGAAAAAAATTTAGTATACAGGTCAAATATCATGCAATTTACATTCATATAGAACATAGCGTTGGTGGAAGCTCTGGGACTACATCTGTCTGATTAGCCCCAAGGAGGGAAAAACAAGCCACGGACTTCTGAGAGGTTTTCGATTACTTTATGAGTAATGTGTCACGTCTAAATGGTGTACACCCTCCTTTGTCTTCTATAAGTTGTGTATTCCATAGGTCAATAAAAACTAAAGAGGTGCATAGCATCATCGAGTAGGGTAATAGAGGATAGAGCGTTGACAAATTCTAGTTGAGAAGCGGAACATCCGTGTGTCCACAATCTCCGGATTGGCTTGCATACACTATTGAATATTCCCAGCATACCACCAATAACACCGAAAGCCAAGCACGGAAGAAATACAATCAAAATGTGAACAGAAGTGCGCTGAGTGTAACATTTTAAAACTGGTCATTCGATTCAATGTAAGGACAATAAAAGAGAAAACACGTTTAACGCAGCAGTGCTACACTGTTCATGTTAGGACGAGTACTTGTGCTAATTTTAGTGGTTTCATCAGTGGTATCCCCGGTGAAAGAAATAATGTAACTTCAAGTTATTACCAGTGATACAATCTTTCATTTTTACACAATAATTGTGCCTCAGCATGCTGGTCAGTCTAAACAGCAGGCTGGACGCTTTTCAATTATATTCGAACGTGTGCCACTGCATTAAGAAGTGGAAACTTCTACAGCTAAAGCGGTCAATAAGTTTCTGACGGACTACTGAACTGCACCACACCCAAGTATTTTTGACGGGGACTTCTTGATTGAATGGCACGCTGACAATAAAGTGGTGATCGCGTCCACTATCCATGATCCTTAGCATCCCAGAGCCAGGAAGAATGAAAGCATCGATCAAGGGCAGTGCACCGGGACACGACACTTTGCTGTTCCCGTCAGAAATTACCCAATTCGTTACCAGGTGTCAGGCCGCATTATTTCATATCGGGAGATATACCATGCGCTGTCTAGGTTGACGGAATCGTTTGAGTTCGGCAAGTCATTCAGCTAAGTACAACCAAGGTCTACATGAAAATTATGACCGAAATCAATAATGAACGTTTTACAGCATAGCGTTTAATTAAAGCGCACTCATTAGACCACAAATGCATCAAATAACCGGGCTTCGGGTTTCATAGAAAAATAAGTAACGATGAGTTCTACTGTGATCATCATGTGAAGAATTTGCAGTAGACTAGCACCTTTGAACCCTGAAAAATAGGGAAGCAGCAGGCAGTTGATATGACCTTGTTTTCGGCCCAACATGTGGACGGCCTAGATACTCACACTTCGGGGTCGATGCCAAAAAACTGTGAAGCTGCCAACCGACCCACCAACCTGCTTTAGTTAACTTAATGAATTTTGTGAGGTCAGTACTTCATGTTATTTTGACAGAGAGCAGATGAAAACCCGCTCGAGCTCCTTCTCTCCATTTGTTT